CAAAAGCTGCTGTCAGAAGCATGGGTGCAACATTCTTACGGCTGGAGTGAGTAAAAGTTAAAAGTTTTGACTTGCTATAGTTATACAAATGAACTGATTTTTCTAAATTCCTCTTTTACCCCTGCCTCTCTGGCTCATATATCGATAATTGAACCTTTATCTCCAAAGAAGTTAAAATAGAAAGCAAATTTGAACACATGTTTGTCATAATTTGTCATTTCTGAGGTCACTGTTGAATGCAAATTAGAGAGTAGCAAAGTTGTTGACAGATACTATTTTTTATGGAACTTTCCCATACAACAAAAGGGATTAAAGAAAAAGTAAGTTATTTCCTTTTTTTCTGAATAGACTTTGACTTGAATTTACTTATAAGCATGTTTTGAATGCCAAATTGTCTTTTATAGCCACATACAATTTTGCTTCCTTTAAAAACACGTTTTTTCATTTGTGAATTTGATTATATTGCCAGTGTCTTTTCTAACCTTTTTCTACTACTAACTTCAGAGATATAGCTTCAAAAATAAAAGCATGTGCATATTAATAGTAATGGAAAAGAATTTCAATCCAGTGTTATTTGCATTAAAACAAAGCTGTACCTTTTACCTACATGGGATTACTATGTTGTGTTTATTAAGGACAAATAAACACCTTTATTTGACTATTCACAGGGGTATGTATCCCATTCAGTAAAGAGAAATGAACAATGAAAGGTAAAAAATTACATGTTCCTGGTCCTTAGATCAGTATTAAATATATTCCTGGCATGAATAGGCTTTTCATTGGTTATAATGCTGGTTTTCAGGTGTACAATAAAACTCACCAACTCTAGGTTGGGTGTACCATTGATTATGAAGCTGTAAGAGGAGAAATACAAAGCTATTTAGAACACTCCCATTTTTATCAGCTTACTAACTTTTATGAATCCGTTATTAGCAACTTCAGACAGGAAGCTCTGGAGAAAGATGAAGTCATGTGACTCTGCAAGTTAAGAAACCCCCTTCTGTAATGTGAGAAAAATACATTCTTTAGGAAGCAGGGATTTGTTTGGGAACACTATAAGAGCGATGAAGGTAAGTAACCTGATAGGATTCTTCAAGTGCTCTGAAGCCCCATCCGAGCTCCACTGCAGCTCCATGCACCTGCTGTGCAGCCGCATCGGCGTTAGTGCAACAGCTCTTAAGGCATCGATTTTGAAACATCGATTTTGGCTAGATCTCACACACACACACACGAGACTAGACGCACGAACACATTAAGAGAGTCACAGGGCTGCGGCCACGCTCTGAACCGGAGACCGAAATGCTCTGCGGTCCCTCCTGCCGTCCCGCTCGGAGCTCGGGAGCAGCGGCAGGCAGCTCCCGGCTGGGCTGCGAGATGCAGGACGGGAAGAAATAAAGGCAGAGAGCAGGGAGAGAGATCCAGGAGGAGAGCGGGGAGGGAATTCGCTCAAGCGGACAGGCACGCACTGATGACTGACGCGCCTTGGCTCGTCCCCAGCTCAGCGGGTCAGACACACGTGTTGTCCCGCTGTGGCCGCGGCAGCCTTCCAGGGTTTCCCTCATGATTCATGCCGGAGGAGCATTCCCCGAAAACAAGCACGTCCCCGGACGGGGCTTCCGCAGAGGCTCCCGGGGCACTTCTCGTGAAACACTTCTGCGGGACCAGAGAATAGCTGGTGCAGACCGTGGCAGAGGGGTCGGTGCCGGCCACCCTCGGAGAAGGGGCTCCGAGAAGAGAGGGAGCCAGCAGGGTCATGGTCCTTTCAGCCCGGCATCCCAGGCATCCTAGTTGGCAGTGCCCCTGGCAGACTGTCCCCCGGCGTCCCTCTCATGCCCAATGCCAGGACCAGTCTGTTCCCCGATGTCTCCGACATCCCGATCCACAGTGCCTGAGGTAGCCTCTCCTCCGATGTCCCTCGCATGCCGATCCCCAGTGCCCGAGGCAGCCAGCTATCCTGTCAGCTAACGCTGTCCCCAAGCCCGAGCAAGCGCTCCTCACCTGCACTCCCCGCAGCCTGCGCAAGCCAAGAGGCTCCCCGGGAGAGTGGTTTGCAAGGTAAAACGTTCACCTTCGAGAGAAAAAAACCCCCACAACAACTGTAGACGGCGTGGGGAAATAACCACTACCCTCCACCTGCTCCCACGCTACCGTGTTAAAACGATCCACTAGAGATACCCCTGCAACCTCCATGTGGGAAGTAGGGGCGCCTACCCCCGGGCAGTCACTCTGCAAGGTGCCCCGAAGCATTTTTTTCTCGTCTTTGAGAGAAAATCGTATGTTATTGCAACGGTCCACGCTGCAGGTGCACTCCACGTAGTTATGAGTGCTATTCCCATTTGTTTGATGCAAGATTGTCTATTGCAGAGCTTTTGTGTTTGCTTTTGTTTGGGTTTGGGTTTAGATACTGTCTTTGATTATTATGCGTTATCCCAGTTTTCTTTTCGAATAAGTGACACAATCTCAAGACTGAGTAATTATTATTTACAGTTCAGGAAAGAGGTGCATGAGACATTCAAATGAGCCCGGTTATGGAATTGGAAACCTTTATTTCCGTAGGCGTACAGGTACATATATGAAGCCAGCAACGATCTGAAGCCTGTGAGGAGAAAAACAACGTGTAAAGACACCATGGATAATCACAAGGGTAACCAAACAGTTTCTCTAGTGCTTCCGAAGCACGGGCATCTCTCTCTTCAGATCTGTCTTCCGTGCCTTGTTGGGTCACGTAGCGAATTAACCTTTGGCTTTTTCTTACGCAGTTCTTTGTGGCTTGATCATCTTTATTCAAATCGCCTTCTTTCCGCGGGGATCCACTTACAATTTCAGCCTTTGTAACCACGAGGAGATACAAGAGGATCTACTAAACGTTTTGGATCCAGACAAGACCTTTACACAAGAGGTTGGTGCTTTCTCTAGTGGCATCGCAGGGAGACGGTCGGGACGGCACTGCCTCCACGTTTTCATTCTTGACCACCGGCAGCTAGTTTCTGAAAATCTCCATTAGCAAGCCGGGAGTTGGCTAGTTTAGTAAATCGGTGCCTGTGAAACAGGACCTTGAGGTTACGCCCAACTGTCCTCCCGCGACCTTCCTAAAATGCGCTTCACTGAAGCTGGGACTGTCAGGGACGGAGAGCATGAGCCCGGGCGGCCGCTGGGAAAGCGCTACCCGAAGCTTCCCAGCGCCTTGCAGACTCGTAGGACTGAAAGTCGCTTGTATAATGAATGCTCCACCGACGCTGAAGATGGTGTCACGGTTGCAAAGGTGATCAGTGGTTTTAGAAGCTACGAGGATGGTTCACACACATCTTTCCTTAGCGAAAAGACCGGGCGGTGTTTTTGGGGACGAGTAAGCCCCGCCGCTGTTTCGGGCACCACAGCCCGGAGCCGCCAGCCAGCCCAGCACCAGCTGCCCCGCACCGCCGCTGCCCGACTCTCGCAGCCGCCAAAGCACCCCGAGGCCCCGACGGGATGGTGCGGAGGGCAGTAGGGATGTCTATAGTGGGGTGATCAAGAGGGCTGGCAGCAAAGGGCCGTGTCTTTAACGAGCATCCACCCTGTTGTTTCCCTCCAGGAGCTACAACTCGATTTTCACACCTGCGAGGATGCGCCCTCCCAGCCGACGGGCATGCAGCAGTCCGAGGTTCGCCCAGGTGCAAGCACTCCCCGGCGGCTAGGTGGCTTTCCCTTTCCATAAAACAAACAAACAAACAAACAAACAAACAAAAACCCTAAACCACAAACAAATAAAAAAAAACAAAGAAAAGGGTGGGAAGGAGAGGGTAAGAAAGGGGGAAAGGGTGGAAACAGAGGAGGGAAAGGGAGAAAGAGGAAAAAGGCAGAAGAGGGGGGAAAAAGGCCGGGAGAGAGGAAGGTAGAAAAAGAAGGAAAAGCAGGGAGAAGGGGCAAGGGTGAGGAGCGAGGGGGGAGAAAGGGTGAATAGGTAACCTCTTTTTAAGGATGCATGCGGAAGCGCTTGAGGGAAAGGGGGTTGAGGGCCAGGGTCGTGACCAGCCGTCTTTCTGCAGGATTCCCGGCGGGCGGAGCGAGCGGGTCGGCTGCTGGAGTGCCTCTTGGAGCGGGCTCGGGGATGCGGGAAGCGGCCGGAGCTGTGGCGAGACATCCTGTCCATCCTACGGCGCCGCTGCCCCGGCTACTGCCTGGCGGGGGAGGGTGCAGGGACAGCGCGGCGGGGCCACCCCAGCGCGAGGAGGTCCGGGAGCAGCGCCGGGAACGCCGACGGGGCGGTGCGGTGGCGGGGTGCATGGAGCCCAGCCCCGTGCGACAGGAGCAAGGCCCGGGAGCTGATGGCGGTGTGGAGAAGCTACAACAACTTGGGATAGGTGGCCTTGGGGGAAACTTCACTTTTTTTATCCGCCGTATTGACTCTTTTATTGTTGCAACGGAGTCATCCTGCGGGGTAGTTTGGGTTTGTTTGGTTTTTTAACATGCATAATTTATTTAAAACCACACACACAAACACAAAACCAAAAAAAAAAAAAAACAAAACAAAAAAAACCCAACAAAACCCCAGAACACCTCGGGAAGCGCAGCGGCTGCTGGAGCGGGCACCCCGCAGCCCCGCCGGGACGTACGCACCGTCGGGAGCTCAGCTCACCCCCGCGCTCCGCTGCCTCGGTGTCACCTGCAGCCAGACCCTATGCTTTGTGAGGAGAAAGGGGATAACAAAGTGGAGAATAAAAGGGGATTAAAAAACCTGAAAAATAAAAGGGGGTTAAACTCCCCCCCGCGAATAATAAAAGGGCATTAAAACCCCCGAAGAATAAAAAGAAAGGACGCGCAGTGGTGGCTGTATGTATGTAGCGCAGTGCGCGGGTGACGGTCCTCTGCGTGTCCCAGCGCGGCTGCGGGGTTGCGGGTCCTAGGATGCGGTTGCGTTGCGGGGGCCGCTTTCGGCGGCGTACGGCGGGGCGGGGCTGCCGGCGGAAAGGGGGGCGGGCGCTTCCTGCGGGAGGATGGGCGGGAGGCGGATGCGGACACAGATCGGACACGGACACGTGCGGTGCCATGTCGCGGCAGGACGTGGGGCTCTTCTCTGGGTTCCGAGTGCTCGGCCGCTTCAGCGGGCACGTCCCTCACGTTCTCCGCTACCACGGCCGGCACCGCGAGTTCTACGTGGCCACCGCCGTCGGGCGCAGCGTCCACACCTACAACGTGAGTACATCCCGGCCCCCCCTCGCCGCTTCCCCGGCATCCTGCCTCCTCCAGCCGTGTGGGGCGACCTGCTTCTTCCTCGCCTTCCTCCTCTCCCCGACCTCGCCATAGTGATGCGGGAGCGTGTGCAGGGCTGCGGCGCCCCGGGTACCACGGCCCGGAGGGAGGGATGGAGGCTGCTGACTAAACAGGCCGGGAATGGGCTTGTTCAGCCATGTGAGGCAGCATTGGCCGCTACAGCTTAGCGCATTCGGTTGCCTAAAAGCGGCACTTAAAAGGAAACTTCTAAGATTCAAATTTATGAGTTTTAGAAATCAGGCATTGTTTATTACGACGCGCTGCATGGTCACAGCGCGACGGGTGCCCTGGGAATCGTATCGTCAGAATGCACACCGAGGTATTTTTCACTGCAGCTTGTATGTCTGCATTGCATGATTATTTATTTTTCATTCCTTGCATTCCTCTTATATATTCATGGCATTCCCAGCACTTATTAGCATATATACATGTCTTTATAAGGTCATCAGGGGTCTCTAGGTCTCTTCTCTGTGTTTGGAGCCCCCAAAACTCCAAATGGCCGCCTTGTGAAATGGTTATGCGGTAACTGAGTGTTGCAACTGGCTGCCTCACTTCTTCTCCTCATTGTTTCTTTAAATCACTTGGCTTGGCTATCTGTAGTTTCTGTGTTGTAAATACTATCAATCTTTCCAGAGGAGCACCCAGATGCTGAGGCTTTTCCTTGTTACAGAATAAACCAAAGCTTGCCTGTAGCAGGGATAGTTGTGGGTTAGTGGCTGCACGCTTATTTTTTGAAGGGGTGGGAGACAGGCAGTTAGATCCTATTAAAACTCCTGTATGGAAGCAGATGAGCAAAATTGAGTTCTGCCAGATGAAAGCCTGTGATATAGGCTCATTTCTTGCAGTGCAGAGTCACAGGGTTAGTGCAGAGTTAGAGTTAGAAGGGACCTCTGGACATCATCTAGTCTCACCACCCTGCCAGGGCAGGGTCACCTGGAGCAGGTGACACAGGAACACGTCCAGGTGGGTTTTGAACGTGTCCAGAGAAGGAAACTTCATGACCTCCCTGGGCACAGTCAAAGCATAATCAGTGTATAGAAACAGTAACTAAACAGAAAGGAATTGAATCGAGTGATTATAGTGAACAGTAGAGTGCAGACAGCATGGATCTTCCTCCACCTTTGTGCTGCCTTTTAGTGTTAATTTCTGCCATTCTCTTCACAGACTTTCAACTGAAAGAATAATGATCATCAGTGGGAAAAGATGCTTGCAACTAAAGCAAATTCTATGTGAGCAGATATAAAATTAGAATACAGTGTGCTTGCAGTTAAAATAAACTCAAAACAGAGGTGATGTGGAAATTAAGTTGCCCAAGCTCTGCAAGGTGTTTTAACATGTCTTTAGTTTCCTATGCATTAGGGTAGAATACATCAGGAAGCACATCTTAATTTTACTGAGTGGCTTTCTTTTTGCAAATGTATTTTCCCATTCCTTTTGACCTGCTGTCTGCAAGTTTTCTAGTAGGTGCTGTTGTAAACTAAGATGAATAGTTTTTCTGTTTTGTGAGGTGTGCAAATTAATCTAATTTGGTATCATTCCTAGAATTTTTAATTTCTGTTTATAGCAAATTCATTACAACCAGTCACTAAAAATGCCTTTTTAACATTTTCATTACAGGTGAAGAAACTTGGTATTGTTTCTGTGAGTAAGTATGCACAGATTGTTCATTCCTATCATTTGTGGTTTTTTTAACATGTTTGACATCTGCACTTGATTCTCAACTCAGAAGCAAAAAATAAATTGCATGTACTAATATTTACAATCAAATATGTTGAGAGAAGTCTCAGAAATATAAGATATCAATTTGGAAATAAGACTGCTGTTGAAATTGTAACTTAGTTCTCTTAGAGACATACTTTGTGAACCTTCTGTTCTTATCATCTTAGTCTTCCAAGAACACTCCTAGGCCTTAATAATTGAGCAGTGAATAAAAGTCAAGTATTAATTTATTGAATTAATTTCAGATCCCTTATTTTGATTGTTGTTTTTGTGGTTATTAGAAGACTTATAGGAGTTATATAAAATAATTACATGAAGAAAATATGCGTGGATGAGAATAGAAGTCTTCAGGAATGTTAAGAATTGGTTGTGCTGCTGGATACAAAGGATATGAATTGATGTCCTGATATTCCCTTGGCTATTGGGAACAAAGCACTCTGGGTGTCAGCAGCAGGGCCCATCTTCTTCAGCACCATCACCAGCAGCCTTGGTGATGAGGCAGCATTAGGATAAGTTTGCAGATGATGCTGTATTAGAAGGAGTAGCTGACACCCAGAATGGTAGAGTTTCACTCCAGGGAGCTGATACAAAACACTGAGCCTGGGCCAACTAGAACCTCGCCAAGCTCAGCAAGTGCAATCCTGCACCTGGGACAGAACAAGCTGAGAAATGACTGGCTGCATGGAATCCTACTGAAAAGGAGCTGTGGTTGTACTGGTGCCAAATTGAATGTGGACCAACAACACAGTAGCTGGGAATAGGGCAAGCTGTATATCAGGGTACATTAGGAACGCAGCCAGCTGATAAGGGGAGGCTGTTATTCTCCTGTACTTCATGCTGGTGAGGCTGTTCCTGGACTGCAGTACCCAGTCAGTGTGGTTCTCCTCCTTCCACCACTCCCCTTTCTCCTGCAGGAGGGATGCTGAGGAGCTGGAGAGGTGTCAGGGCCTACAGCATGCAGTATGAAAAGAGACCTTGAAGTAACTGGGTCCGTTTAGTCTTAAGAAAGGACAGATATGGGGTGACCTAGAGGCAGCCTGTTACCTTACAGGTAATTAGATGGCAGGGCTGAATTTGTGGTGGTGATGGTAGACAAAGTAAAAAGAGGCAGCAAACACAGGTTGCAGCTTGAGAGGGTCACAGTGGTGCTCAGGAAAAATGGCCCTAAGAAGTAACTGTAGTATGGTGTAGAGCTTGAGCAGAACTCCTTCCCCAGGAATGTTCAAGACTCAGCTGGGCAGTTAACCCACCCTAGTACTGATGATAGTCTAGCTTTGGGGAGAGCTGATGGGATGCTGAACTGATTAATTTCCAAAGGTCCTTTTCAACTGATCTTTAGATAATTCAGAGGGGTGCATGCTGTCTTGAAAACTAGGGGCTTCTGTCTACCATCAGGTTTTTACAGAGACCTCATAAATAAAATATTTTTCATTAAAAGAGCACCTGTAAACGAGAGAATAAATGCCCCACAACCAGGACTAGATTTAGAAGACCAGCTGTGTAGAGTTAACAGCTGTAAACACATTAATGTAACTTCTGTGTTCAGCTTTCAAAATCATAAAAGCATTGCATATTCTGTTCAGTGAGCTACATCTTCTTACAGAAGTAGTCATCTAAGCTTTTTGAGAAATTAAAATGTTTACGTACAGTATTGTGATTGAAAAAATTAATGCTGTGCCTCTCTCTGTGTGGTGGTGTTGGTTGGTTGATGTTATGTGGTTGGTGCTCTGAACTTTTTAACTGGAGTCTGCCTAAAACTGTCTTAGCCTAAGCAGACTTCATACAGCTCATGTGGAGTACCTATAACCTGGCTGTAAGCCTAAGTCACTTCAGAGGTGCTGTGGGAAGGTGTGTATTATGTTCGAACAAATTAAACCTTAAGTGCAACCTTTTTTATTTTCTTAGTCCTTAGTTTTATCCTTTTGAAGCTGTGCTGCAGTACAGCAAAGGTACTGGTTTCTTTGTGTCTGATAATAATTCATAGTACAAAGCAACATTGTGGGGAAGGCTGGTATGTGATCATGCAAGTTTTTCATCATAGGTGTACTCACACACTTATTTTTAATCTGATGTTTCTTTGTACAGTTGTTAAGTGCTGTAATTTGCATTTTTATGTTTCCCTGGGTTGAGAGTATTTTTTTCCTACAGTATATTTTTCAGTTTTCTACCATTTGAGACCACACCAGCAGTTTCTCAGTGTGGTCTGGAAACTGTGGTCTGGTCATTTCCCTTTTGAGCTAGGAAAGTAGCAGATCCCAATAGTAGGTACTCCTTCTGAACCAGTCATGAGGTGGTGAGTGAGATGTATTCTTAGGGCAGTAAATTCCCAGTTTCTTTACCTGTGATCAGGAAACAGATGCAGGAGTTATTATTAAACTAATAAGCATTGCTAATGCTGAGATGTTGATTTCTCATCTGTGTTTCCAGCCTTCACAAACCTTCACTTACAGTGAAAGTTCAGTAGTTTTACTGTTAAGTGTTTTTCAAAAGAACCACCTTGTGATCTACCAATCTGACGTTACTTATGATGTTGTCACCTTTTTATTGTAACGTTTTATTGTAATATTGTAATATTTGCATTCATCTGAAATGTGTACATTTCTCTAAAATTCAATGTAATATTCAACAGGAGAGCTTTCTTGGTGAGTCACCATGCCAGAGAAATATGTTGTGAGGCTTCCTCTTTCATTATGAGCCTGAGATTTGTTTATCTTTTCTTTTGTTTGATTAACAGGTAATGCTTTGCCACAAGACATTACATGTTTGGCAGCAGATCGCATGCTGATATTTGCTTCATATGACAATATTCTCCACGCTTTTGCCAGGAACAAAGAGGTTTTTATTAGTTTACTTATTGCTTGGTACAAGACAGATGTGTAGTGTTTGTGGTATCAAGACAGTTAGTTTTCTACAGATGTTTATTTCTGTAGATGTTTCGTACCTTCAATTTTAGGGAAACAAACTGTAGAATAAAGAATAAAAAGCTTAAAACAGGAGGATGTAAATGCAAATTCTGTAATGGCTGACCTGTGTTTTATGTATTAATTATAATAGGTAAATAGTTAGTTAAAGATAAAAAAAATAAGTTGTTAATTCACATAAGTGAACTGAAATTAAATAATGAAAAATATTTAGGTAGAATATTTTTGCCAGCAGTTTTAAATGTCAGATATAGTTATCTATCTTCTACTTCAGGTTGTGTGGCCTTTCCATGTGTTTTATTTAAACTTAGTTGCTTTTAGTCTGTTAGCTGTCCTCAGGTATTACGTTAGCATGATATGCTGCCCTAACAGCTTATATTAAAAGCATTTCTATTTTGAATTTTTAGGTGGTTCATACCTATGAAGGTCACAAGGCAAGGATACACCTTCTACAGCCTTTTGGTGATCACATCATCTCTGTGGATGTTGATAATGTTCTTATTGTTTGGAATATACAGTCAGAAGGTGAGAGACTTTTTTTTACTACTTTTTAGGGTAAGATTGTTAAACATTCATTAGTTTAAAAAGGAGTTTATTCAGAAGTAGTTCATCCTTAAAAAAGAAAATTCCTAAATGGTAGTGCTACTTGTTAGTCTGAAGTCCTAATCCTGTAATAATATTTCATGAATGGATTCTGCATCACATGCAGAGACCCAGTAGGGTTCCATATAGGTGTAAAGAGATAATGGTTATATGGAAATTACATTTTAGTTTTCCATTTTCTGGTAAAGACTGTGATACAGCAGCTTTAACTCTATCTCTGAAATTGTGTAATTCCTTGATATTTACCAGACTGCGTGAGACTAAATTCTGATGAATAATCTTCTGATTGCATCAGCATCTTCTCGTGCCATTGTCAAGCGCTTTATGAAATTGTGCTTCAGTGTCCCAAACTTTTTCCTTTAGAAAGCATTGCCATTGGCGTGACCAGTGTTATCCCCTGGATCTTGGGCCTCAAAAGTGTCTGTAAATAGGCTTTAGAATTTGAAGTTGCTAGGACAAACAGAAGGCATGCTAATCAGATGAGGTGTTTTGCTCAGGCAGGAGCAGGAATCCCTCAGAAAGATAAAAATCGCTACCATTCTGCCAGTATTGCTGTAGTAGGTAGGCTTATACGGAAAACATGTACCTTGGAGCCAACAGATGTTACAATGTAAAGCTGAGACTGTCCTGTTGCACATTAGCTAATCCTTTAATGTAAGAAATACCAGTAGCAGGATTTGTAAAGTAAACATAATCTCTGCTTTTTTACATTTGCAAAGGGATGACAAGCCTGCAGATTTGTAGGGGTAGCCACACTAACACTGTTTCTTACCTTTTTTTTGCAGAAGAGTATCTTCAAGTGGATTTTGATAAAGCCACTTTTGTAGTTTCTGCACTTCTGCATCCCAGCACCTATTTGAATAAAATTCTCCTTGGGAGTGAACAAGGAAGCTTGCAGCTGTGGAATATAAGATCCAAGTAAGATGCTTAATAACTTGACTACACTTCATGCCCCGAGTAGCTTGATATGCTACAAATAATACTTTTAAGTATTATAGGTTTTGAACATGGAATCTTTTACCAAGTATTGGCAAAAGTTTTCAATTAGTCTTTCTCCAGGAACAGAGAATGCTGCTGCCTCCTGAATGCTGACACCTTTCAGGTTGCATGTTGTTTGCTCTCCTTGCGAAAGGTTGTTCAGGACTTTTTTTTTTCAAATTTCTTGAAATCACATAGCTTTCCCATGAAAGCAATTAAAATAATAGTAAAAGCATGTTCAGGCCTTCTGCCTCCCTTCTAGCTTAATTTTTTGGTTGTTGTGGATACAAGGAAGTGTTGACAGGTATTGTGGACGTAATTACTAGCATTTGAGCCTTACACTCAAGAGATGTGTAGATATGCCATTGTCTCTGAGCATGTCTGAGTAGATCATCATTCATAACGTCAATATTTCCTGTTTACCAAGATCACTCGCTTTTCTAACTCATGAAAGTTACAAGTACAGTGAGTTTCCCTGCATGTTGATGTACACGCTGCAAATAGATGTTGTCAGCTTGCTTAATTCAGTGTTTTATTTTCATAACCACTGCATACTTTAAATTGTATCACTGTTATTTCTTTTGGTTTCATATTCTAATGTTTTAGAGATGCCTTACATGCTATATAAATCAGGAAATAGGAATAACCTAAAAATACAGAAAAGTAAATGTCTCTACTCATAGTATTTTTACATCTATTCAATGCCTGTCACAGCATCTTGAGATGCAGTACATCCTAGATGACAAAAAGTCTACCTTAGATGGCTTAATTTCTCTGTTAATTGTGTAAAAACTTATGGCATGTTACTGCTCTTTTAGCGGTATTGCTGGGTTAAGCACGATATGTTTTTGCCTGTTTGTTCCCTCCATAGATTGTTTTGTAGATAGGAATGGAAAAGCTAGACCAAAAAAAAAATATAAGAATTGAGGGGAAAGTTTGATTGTATCTGGCAAGAAAGGAAAGTGAGAGGTGGTAACATGACTGGTAGCAGTCTTTTAAGAATGTCAACCTATGCCTGTGGTGATAGAATAGATTTTAATCGTGTCCTTAAATAACGTCTTCACAATTTCACTCTTAATATGTGCTGCATGACTGCCTTGTCTTTGAGCGGTCCTGCTTCATATTTTGGCTGTTACCATGTCTGAAAGGAACAAGATGGTGTGTGCTTGTAATACATACTAGTGTCTTAATTTAGGGAAGTTACTCTGCACATGAAAGATTTGATTCTATTAGAAGTTGAATCAAGACTGGCTTTTTATGTTGATGTTGAGAATTCTGCAGAGGTGTGATCGTGACAGAAATGCATGGGGAACAACTGGCATAGAAGAGTCTTCCTCCCTGTTCATGGCATATGATTATGTCACTGTTGTGGGATTAATGCATGACACTAAATTTTTCAATAAAAATGAACCATAAGTTTTATTCTTAACCCTACTTATTAGTGTCACTGGTTTTTTTTTTCTTTTATCTGATTTATAAAAACAGAAAGCTGATTACTTTTCCATGTAAGTGCATATAAAGCAGCCATTTTGTCATGGAAGATCCCCCAGGGTTAATTGATTTATGGATTATGTGTGTTTGTTTTCCAGCAAACTCCTATACTCATTTCCAGGATGGGGCTTTGCGGTCACAACTCTTGCACAAGTTAGTACTTTTGTTGCCTTTTATTTTTCTGCATAACTGGTCAGCTGGCAAATTATAATTGTTAAAAATTACAGCAGTAAAGATGGCTTTATTCTCTCAAGGTATTGTAATAACCTTCTCTTTAGTGAAGGTTTGTTACCTGCTCTTCCTCTAGTCCTAGTTATGTTGCATTTAGGATCTTAGTTGTTTTGTGTTTATCACATCTATAGTCTTCACTAAATTGTATAAATTCATAGAAACAGTTTGCATTACACGGTAGTTTTTTGCTAAATTTATTTTGCTTTGGGGGTTGATAAAAGGTAGATTTTGCTGATTCAAGAAGAGATTTTGTAATTGTATTTGCTGTGGGTTTTTTTTTAGATGTAAAAATTAATTTAAACTTATTGGTAGCATTGATGACAGCTTTGAAAAAGGTCAGCAGTTGTCCAGGATAAAACTTGTACACATGGAGGTGTGTGGCAGGGTATATAATGAATAATAACCAGAGCTACTGGGCACTAAAGTGATGTGTTTTTCAAAGGATTCAAAGCTGCTGGAAACCAATAGAGACTAAGCACAAAATCTTGCATCTCTTTTGGTTTTTTTTGTCAGATCTTCAGTTTTGCGTTACAGTGATATAGATAGAAAATCTCATGCAAGATGCCTTATTTTTTTTCTTTACTCTTTGTCCCAGACTTAGATACATTGTCTTGAATGTATTGGCATTACCAGTGTGGCTGCAAGCTTTTTCTTTTTCATTTTAGTTGCTGTTCAATTTTTCTTGCAGGCACCAGCAGTGGATGTTGTTGCAGTCGGTCTTGTATCTGGTCATATCGTTGTACATAATATTAAGTTTGATGAAACTCTGATGAAATTTCAACAAGACTGGGGTCCCATCACAGCAGTATCTTTTCGTACAGGTAAGTCTTAGCATTTTTTTAGTGAAAATATGTATAAAATCACTAAAACTAAGTGGGACACAGGAAAATATTTTTTGATAAAACATTTCAGAATCAAAATTTGTGCTGAGAGTTCTAGTTTTCAAAGGCTGAAGGTAGTATAGAGAAGTTACCAATAAGTAAGGGAGATCATGCATTTTCATCATGATTTATAGTGCTATTTTATAGCATTTTCTTGTATTCTGACTCAGTGCAGAGGAAGTGTGACATACAGCATTTTTGGAAAGAAAAGTTTGTTTACAGTGTGCCAAGAGCTAGCACAGTACAGTTATCAGAGTTAGTGCAGAGTAACCAGTACACCTTAGTTTACTGTCCAAACCTACTTCTCAGCAATGTCTTACCCTCCAAATAAAGTTAGAGTGTTAATGGTTGTGTGACTACTGAATGGATGTAACTGGGGAACACTGTTTATTTTCACAGCTTTTTCTTGTCTAACAAGTATGTACTAATTACTAAAGGTAGTTATTTTGATGTTGATCCTTCCAGCGAGCTGTTGATACTGAATCTAGTCTCTCATTCAAAAAGAGAAACTCGCAAATCTTATCAGGATATAGATTGATGTAGACCCTGTTGATGATGAGTGGTACTGGAGAAAACTGTGAAAAGACTTTTGAGAAGTAGAATGTGTCAATATCTCTTGTGCTTTCAAAGCAAAACTTCTAACACTTACTGCTGGATTTAGATATTTTGTTGTTATCTGATATGAAACTGGTTTTATTATCAGTGAGCTTTGTTTCTTTTCTGATTGAAATACTGGAGTGTTATGGTTAAAACATATTTATAGCATCAACTTGAGATTTTTTTTCTTGTGATTTTAGCTTTTTCTTCATCAGTTCTGCATCAGTTTAAAGATGTGAGAAGTCAATAAAGATGTGCTGAATGTCAACAAACAAACCTTTTTTTACTTTTTTTTGAGCAGATGGACACCCAGTAATGGCAGCTGGCAGCCCGGTTGGACACATTGCTTTGTGGGATCTAGAAGACAAGAAGCTGATGTGTCAGATGCAAGATGCCCATTCCACAGCAATAGCTGGCATGTCGTTTGTCCCTGGAGAGCCACTTCTTATTACTAATGGTGCTGATAATGCTCTACGGGTGAGTTACAAGAGCTGCTGCTGTCTGCTGTTGCCTTTTTCTTCTCTGGGAGACCTGCAAAGTGTAAATGTTTAGTTTGGATTTGAAGTAGCAGTTCTCAAATGAAACAAATACAGCAAAACTCAAGTTGCTGGTTCCTCAGCTGGACTATAGTTTAATGATTTGCTACCGTTTGCTACCATTTAAGTAATGGCTACCATGGTGCCATTGCTTCATTTACTGCTTCGTGGTAGCGTTAAAGAACAAAGCTTAAGATCCACTTTTCCAGAACCATACTTTATATCCTGGTACACTATCTTAAATCTTGATCCATTTTTATAACGTTTTGGATCACAAGCAATTGCTCTTGATAAAACTCCCTTGTGCTGCATGTCTTCTGGTGCCATCAGCCTTTGGTGGAGGGGTGGAATGAACAGCAGGAAACAATTAGTTTCTGTGACAGAAACTTCAAGAGTTTTAGGGTGAAGGATGAAAGCCAGCATGTGAAGTTCGCTGCACCAGCTCCCAGCTAAACCTGTTCCACTGACTAGAGGTGCACTTACTGACAGGGCAATGTTTATCAGCCTTGTTTCTCTGCTTATTTTGGGATGCAGGTGTGGATTTTTGATGGACCTGGTGGTACAGGTCGTGTATTGAGAAGCCGAATGGGACACAGTGCACCACCAACAAAAATCAGATACCATGGGCAAAATGGAGAGCAAATTCTTAGTGCAGGTATGAGTTCTCATTTTTGTTTATCAGCCTGATTTCTTGCTGTGATAAAGAAAATGCACACAGTTAAGTGTCTTTGTTTTATTAATAAACTAGATTATATTTCATGTGTTGTGTATATGTATTTATGAAACATAGTAAGTAGTTAATGTAGACAGTGTCATTATTACTGCAGCAAACTGTTTCACTTAAGCTGAAAAGTTCGAAGCAGAATAACATCGGAGCTGCTTTTATTATCTGTATTTATGTATTTGATAAATAAAAATCGATCCATTATCTCCTGAGAAACTATCAGCTGGTCAAAATGAAAACCTGTAACAGCTAGGGAAATCTGGTTGTGACAGGAAAAAAATAAACAGCATAATGCATTTAGTAACTGAGAGGAGCCACACTGCTTTTCCCACTAGTTTGAGCAAGCTTTGTTGCTTGTACTGTCTTTGTAATTTATTATGGCTCAGTTGTGTCTGTATTATATATTTTCAAGGCTGCTTCTTACCGAGGTATTAATCTAGAAGTGTAAAAATGCATAAGTGACTGACCTTCCTTAGAAACTAGCATATTTAAAAATCTCTTAAAGGACCCCTTAGGAAATGATGTGCTAGATCAGACTGTTTTGTACTCCAGTGCACTTAAGTAATGGAATGGTAGAGACTCTTCACCTAGTCTTTACTTACTGTTAAACAGTGAATTGTTTAAGTGGGCAACATTTGACAATGTTACGCTATGTTTTGATGAAATGTTACATCCAGTATGGCACAGCAATAGATGGTGCTAAAACTCCATACTGAAATGTCTTGCTGGCCATCCAGCTCTTAACTTGGATTCAAGTAACAAGTGCTTTGACAGTAATTCAGCTCACACAAGATAAACCACAGTATCAATTAAATCTTGCTTAACCAATCTTCACATTTGCTTTTGCAGTTTACTGCAAAACATATGGAGAGGACACAGAGGCAACCACTAAAATGAAAAGGATCTCGAGCTCTGAGATCTGATGTATCTGCAGTGTAAAGAAATTGTCTCTCTACATTCCTTTCTGAAACAGTGGTAAAACTTTGTGCAGCAGAAATGAGGTAGCAATACTGCGAGGTGTCTTTCAGGTGCTAGTGGTTTCCTTAGAACAGGCATCTCTACAAATTAACTTTGTAAAATATCACTGTTGTCACAGATTTACCTCATGCTTAACCTTTCTCCCAGTTCCAAATACACAGATCCTGACTTACGTCTCCATCACAGCGGCAAGGAAGGGTTGCTAGAATAGTGTAATTGTTCAATTGTCTTTCAGATTCTTTAAGTTCACTTTGACTAAATTTCTGTTTCTTTACTTATTTGGAGTAGTAAAAGTGTTTTGTGATTCTTGTGGTTTTTAAGAATCATCTCAGTGCCTTTAATTTTGCGTGTGTTGTGCAGTTTTGTTTTCTGTTGGGTTTTGGTTCTGCCTTGTCCATGTCTCCCCCACCAAGTGGACCTGTTTGCTAGTTTCAAATTTGAGCTTTCTATCTCTGTATTAAATTCCTATCAGTTCTGTGAACATTGGTCACTGGGTAGAGTAGGAGAGTCCCATTAGTGTCCTGGTTACAGGAAAGATGGACAACCCAGCTTTTACCATTTTCGTTTGGGTTAGCTTGCTGAGTAACCTGGATGTAGTTCTTAATCAGTCACAGCATGTATTGGTTAGAAAAATAAAGGAAGGAATGTTGTAGTTATTGAAGGGAGTATATGACGTCATGAGAAAGCTTTGGAAGTATTATGGAGGTATTTGAAGGATGCAACACTTTATTTAATGTTCTAATTGTTGAAAGCTGGGTACAGCAAGATATTGTGGTAGAGAAAGGAACAGGGACAGAGGAATTAACATGGAAAAGATGTCCATAAAGAGGTGTCATTCTGGTCATGTGTGGGGCAAAACTGTAGGAATGGAATGTAGGCCATAGAAAACTAGGCTTCATTAGTTATGCTGTTTATAGTGTATCTGTATTTTTTCTTGGACCAGAATTTTTAGTAAATGCTTTATGATGCTGTTTGAAGTTGCTTATTACTTATCCTTTTATTTTCATTTCTCAAATAGATTATGCAGAAGTTGATTTTTGCCCTTCTCTACTCTGCTAATTTTTTGTCAGGTCAAGATGGAACATTGCAGTCCTTTTCAACAGTGCATGACAGGTTCAATAAAAGTTTAGGACGTGGTGAGTATTTCAGTCAAAGTACAAGTATTGGTGAAAAAAAGCTCTGAAAAGTGTTTATGTAAATGTTAAGCAGGCTTTATTTTCCCTTTAACTGTTATATACAAATTAGTCAACTCAGTTGTTCCGTAAACTCAGTCCTTCCTGCAAAGTGTACTTTCAGATTTGTTTGTACTTAAAAAAAGTAATTTCCATAGCCTGGCACTATATGCTCCTTCACCATGGGAAATGTTGGGCACGACTTTTGTATTTAAAATGTATAAGGCATTAGCTGACATTTAAGTATGTGTAATTACAACTTTTTACCATATTCCTCTTCTATGTAGTTGACTAAATTGATATTTCATAGCTTGAGTTCCTTTGATCTAATGTAGAGTTTAACTTAAAACACATCTTGCACACAGTGCCATGATATAGTTTGGAGAGCAAGGATCAGAAAGACTAAAATAATTCTTAGTTTTAAGTGTTTATCTATATGGTTGTATATGTATTTAGATCTGTTTGAAAAGACATATGCAGATTAATTGGTTTTGTATATATATCCTTTGGGTATAAATTTGAAATTCCCAACTCTTTGGTTATTGAAGGGGCTGGGTGTTACATATTGCTTTGTATAGTCATGTCTGTATGACCATGTTTTTAGCTGTAATGGGGGAACTTCTGCCTCAAGACTTCAGCACAAGATCCTGGAACAAATAGGCTGAGTAGTACATCTGTGTAAAAGGCTGGTGATTTGTTCAGCATCACGTGAATGTTGACAGGAACTCTGATACTATTCTTACCTCTTCAAACCCTAGGGAACAGCACTGCTGTGTTTATATAAACCAGATTTTTCTGTTAATAGGAACGTTACGCTTTGTTAACAGTCCTTTTTAAACCATTATTCTCATTTGTCATCATGAGACTGAGACATTTATCTTCTATTTTTAAGGTTCAATTAACAAAAAGAAATCAAAAAAGAAAGGTCTTAAGCTTGACACGATGGCACTTCCACCAATTACAGCCTTTGCTTCAGGTAAGTGGTCTTTCACATACATTACAGAGTAAATGTTAATACAGTATCATCATATATTCGTTTTGTCTTTTAACCCTCAAGACACTACTGTTTTGAAAGCTCATGATATAATAAGATGAGATTATTGAGCATCTGTGGCCTTTCATGAGTTGTTGACAGGTTAAAATTACATTTTATTTTGTAAAGTTTTCCAATATTTCAAAAAAAGCATTTTCCTTTGAACGTCTGTCTTGCTCTTTGGCTTGAAAATCTCCTGCCAGAATCTTTTGGTGTATATATTATTCCAGCTGGAGAACCAGCAATTAGAGAGGGGATGAAGATCTTTTTGAGCTGAGGAAATCTCAGGAACAATGTCTGATTTTGATTCCTCAGCTCTTTCATTTCAGTGACTTTTCGATGTCAAAGTTCAAGCAATCTGTTCATTTGTAATTCAGTATGCAGATAAAGAGCCTAACTTTTTTGAAGCAGAATTACAATTATCTTTGCTTCATCAAAATGTGCTTCTTTAAATTAATGACCTCCTCTTGAAGTCTGTTTTGTCTTAAGTATAAATATTTTCTCTTCTGAGGATAGTTTATTGTTTCCTATGTTGAAAGATCTGGATTTACAGTTTTGTGTAGCCATTTGACACATATGACATTCATATTTGTAGTGATACAGACATTTATACTTCAGTGATACAGACTATCTGTACATACTAGTTGCAAATATCTCTGTGTATTTTTAAAATTTATATTTAAATATAATTAATTTTGAATTAATTATTTTTAAATTAATATTATACCTTCTTGCATTTGGAGACATAAACCCCCCATTTATTTAAATATGTTATGGAGTTGTTTCCTTTTTGCTATCTTGTCTTTGGTAAAATGAACCTGTTTGTATCTCCTTTTAGTCTTTAAAGTTCAAGAAATATCCAGTTTCAAACTCTCAATTTTTTTTAATGTATATATTATGGAAAAAAGGCAAACTTGCTCATTATTTAGACTTTTATATATAATATTTGACTACAAAGTTTGGATACTGAGCTTTGGAGAAACAAATTTTCCTGGAAATGCAAAAAAAGTGTTTTGCTGTGTGGAGCAGATTTAGCTCTTAATCCCAGCTTTAATTTGTTTTATGGTGGCTTCTGCTGCTTCAACAGCTGAAGAAACAGCTAACAGACTCAGCTGGAAATGTGTACAGATGGAGCAATTTAAGCCACTTGCATTGGAATACGCTTTTCAAACTGCATAGGCTAAAACATACAAAGACATAAGACATCCAAAAAAATGCTTGTGGTTCTGTTAGCATTTATTTGCACTACCACATGCACAACATTTTGCCAGGTGTTTTTTTCTCTATGGCAGCCTTTCAACTGTGCAACAAGAACAATAAATATGAACTGTTCTGTAGAAAGTTATTTCAAAATACTCTTTCCTAAGATATCAGAAAAGTTTGTTTGACTTTAGAATTACTGTTTGTAAAAGGACTATATGTTGCATTTGCAGAAGTGGCACATCAGAGTGACTGGGATGGTATTATTGCCTGCCATCAAGGGTATATAACCTGTACGACCTGGAACTATCAGAAAACTTCTATGGGAGCTCATAAACTGAGGCCTGAAGAATTTAGCAAGTACAAACCTATTGATATATATGCAACAGTAAGTTTATTTCTTATAATGTTTCTTCAGCATTACAGTGTATGTAAAATGCTTTACAACTTGAGTTGGACACAATGACATTGTGTTGAACCCACAATGAAGGCAATACAAATGTTTACTGAGCTTTACCTGCTTCATAGACTAGTAGTTACTGTGGCACACTTCATGTGCTAGGCATTGAGCAACTCCTATATCTTGTGATAAATTGTTTTTCTGACCTTGTGTGTAGTAGTTAAGTGGTAGATAAAATAAAGTTAATTGTAAGTACCTGGTTTTCTTTTCGCTACTGGATTGCTTTGGACTGTATTTTTCCAAAGACAGCTAGACCGTTGTTTCTTTGTTTCTTGCTATTTAAACTCTGTGTGAACTTGCCTTATTTTAGGGTGCCACAGGCAATATGGACATTCAAAGAGGCATGCAGTCACCATGCTTACACTTTATCTTAGAGATTGAATTTGTGGATGTCTTGATTTTTTGGGTTACAGTGTTGATATTATTACATATGGCTTCTGATGGATGTCACTAAACTTTCATCACTAAGCAGTGGCCTTTTCATTACATGTTGACTATTTGCTTATTTTAAGAGCTCCTCTCTCTACTTTTTTGAGATGTAAGTTGTTGGTTCTGTGCAGGTTTCCTTGAAGAAGTCTAATAAAAATATATTAGTATTTTGTATTCCTACATATTTCGTATGCTATGTATCATCTAACAACTTTGCTAATTGATATACACTCAGAATTTTTTTTCATAGGTTCTTTGTTTTGTTGTTTTGTTTTTTTTTATTCCCTTGAAAGGCAGTTGATATTACCTCATGTGGTAACTTTGCTGTAATTGGGATGTCAACTGGACAGGTGGATGTGTATAACATGCAGTCTGGCATTCACAGAGGGCGTTATGGCAAAGAAAAAGGTAAGGATTGCTAGACTTTTAAAATACTGGCTCTGAAAAGAACAGCAGTAACCTGTTGTTCTGTCATCTAGGATATTTAACATAGGTTCTGAGTTGAATTTGGGAATCTTTTCAGTGTCTCTGATTACCATACACTGTCCTATGTAGCACTGCAGACAGAAACCTCATTTGAAGGACAGGATCCTTGCTAGTTTTAACAGGTCTGATGTTAGCATATCCTTGGTTTTAATTAACACAAGATTGTCAGTTCCAAAATGGTTAGCACCAAAATGAAATCCTCTGGCCTCCGCTCTTTTTGAGATAAGCACATTTCTTGGCTTCTTGTTACAAGGTTCTGTCTCTGAGATAAATTTTCCCATCTGTTTTGTGCTCCCTGCTTAAAAATTAAAGAATATTTTACGTGAGTGGGAAATTAAAATCCTAAACAAGTCTATTTCTTTGCATATGGTATTATTTTTAATTACCCAGCTGCAAAATTATGACGTAATGTGACAGTGGTCTGTCGTTTCCTTTTAATGGTTGCATACATACATATTTCATGTCATGTATCCTCATGCATGTTTTTTGGTGCTCAAGATCTGAATGTTTTGTTGTAGAAACAAGGAAAGAACCTTTAAACATTACTGGATTTTTAAAAGCATAGGAAACATGAAGTGATCTCCTAATAAAATAATTGGTTGATAACAGGATGAGTTTTCTAATTTTAGTTACTGGCCAGTAGCTCTAGGCATAGATAAAGAAATAAAATTGATCCAAACCCAGAGGAGCTATGTCTTACCTTTACACTGCAGTGTAAAGTAGCCTAGGAAAACTTCCAGACTTTGTGCTGGAACCAAAGCTGGAAATTTTTTCTGGAGTGGTCTGGCCTCCTGGAGGCATTCCCTAAGTAATTCAAAAAGTCTCTCAAATCTCACACTCACAAAAAGCTCCCCAAAACTGAAAACAAAAATATGAGCTAATATTCAGCTTCAGCTGCTCACAAATTTTTACTTGTATTCCAGGTGTTTACTTGAAAGCAGTTTTGTTTCTGTACAGGTTAAAAAAAATATGATATTGGAGCAGTCTTGTCAGGTGGCTTTAGAATTGTTTGTCACTTGCTTACTGCTCATTCAGTGTAGTTAGGCAAAGACATATAGAATGGTTTTTGGCATTCAGTTGATTTCTACGCTAAGTTTAAATTCTGAAATAATACTCTCTCTTGATTTGCAGCACATGAAGGGGCCATTAGAGGGGTAGCAGTGGATGGATTAAACCAGCTGGTAATCACAGCTGGTAGTGAAGGATTAATTAAATTTTGGAAATTCAAAACTAAAGAGCTAGTTTACTCCACTGAACTTTCTTCTTCTCCAAGTGCAATTCTGCTTCACAGAGATAGGTAAGAAACTGAAGCTATTCCATGTGCATGTTGTTTTGCTGTACATATTTGTCTGAAATGGCAACCAGCATTCTAATTAAGTTTATATATTTGATGCTTTGAAATATAACTGACTACTAGACACAAAACAAAATTATTACAAGATATTTTATTAGACTGAAGGAGTGTAATACTGATATTATCCAAAATTATTTTAGGATAAAAGATACCTGGAGAAATGTTAGGATATTTTTTGTATCTCGAGGATTCACTATCATATGTGTCAATCTTTCTTGGCAGTGGTATTTTGGGAATTGCCTTTGAGGACTTCAGTATTAGTGTTTTGGATATAGAAACCAGGAAGATTGTCAGGACATTCTCAGGACACCATGGACGGATTAATGACATGGTAATTGTTAACTCATTTTCTGTAAAGGTGACATAGACAGATACGTAATTAATTTTAAAGATAATTAATTTCTCTGCAGGTATTAAGTCACTGAGTATTATATTCAGCTGTGAATTGTGGAGTTGTAGTTCAGCTCTACAGCAGTTTTGGCCATGTTAGTTTTCAAGTTAAAATGTATAGTGTTGGAACGGCCATCTATTTTTAATGTACTTTGGGATTTTACTATAATTTTACCAGAAGCTGCTTTTGGGTCAAACAAATTAAAGCATTAGGAATAATGAAAAACACATTGAGAAGCAAAACTGTACAGTAGTCTCAGCTGTGTACATAGAAGAGATGAGTCAGGTGTAAACAGATCTGAGATTACACTACACAATGACCATTCCTTATTTACATCTTATGTAATAGTGTTTTGTAGAGTTCATTGCAGTAGTTTTTAATTCTAAATGCTACTAAATGAGTAGTTATTTCATTTTTTCAATTTTATGCTTAGTGGTTTTCATCACTAACAGTCAAAGCGCTTTGGTCCTGATTTTATAAGTCAGATCTGTCCTGTGTCATATATTTAAACCTGTTTCAAAATAGCTTTTCTCACAACAGTGTGTTTTCAGTTTTGGTTTATCACGAGACCATTTCATCGTGGTTTTAGGCAGCAGTCTAATCTTGACAGTGCCTCTTGTAGGGATTGGCTTGTCCATTGTGCCATTAAATTGACTATTTTATTTTAGACTTTCAGTCCTGATGGTCGTTGGCTAATAACTTCATCAATGGACTGCACCATTAAGACTTGGGACCTTCCCTCTGGATGGTGAGTCACTTTAAAAACATATAGCAGAACTAATAATCTCATGTCTGATAAATGGCAAAAAGCCTTCTGGCTTGATTATCTGTCACCAACTTGTGCTATGTGACATTCAAAGTTGCACATGGTATAACAACTCAGTTCTCAGTATTTTAGTTGTGTCCAATGCAAGACCCTTTTTCTGGGTCTGCAGAATAACAGCATCTTTAAGATCTGTCGAGGACACCTGGAGTTTTCATATAGTGTCAGTGAGTGTTAATTTGTTCTTTGTCTGGAACTAGCACTATAATCTAAAGGTCAAGAGGTTGCTTAAGCTGAACTGCATTGTGATATGCTGAAGTATTCATGGGATCATAGAGTGTTTTGAGTGGGAAGCGAGCTTCAAAGATCTAATTCAACTACCGTGATGTGGACAGACAGTTCTTTCACTAGACCGGGTTACTCAAAGCCCCCTCCAACCTGGCCTTGAGCACTTCCAGGAATGGGCCATCCACTTGGCAACTTGTTTGCGCAACCTGTTTCAGTGCCTCACCACCCTCATCATAAAAAATTTCTGCCTTGTATCCAGTATAAACCTACACCCTTTCAGTTCAACACTGTTGATGCTTGTCCTTTCACCACAGGCTCTGTTAAAAAGTCTAACTCAACCTTTCTTACAAGCCCCCTGTAAATACTGAAAGACCACAAAGTCATCTCCCCAGAGCCTTCTGTTCCCCAGCATGGACCCTTACCAACTCTCTCAGCCTTTCTTTGTAGGAAATGTGTTCCAGTCATTTTCCTGGACTTGCTCTAACTTCATATCTGTCTTGTGCTGGGAGCCCTAGAGTTGGATGCAGTACTCCAGCTGGTTTTGTAAATAGAAGCCTGTTTTCACTTACATTCATTTTAGCACACAATAAGGCTTTACGTCAGTTATATTTTTAATTGCAACTGCCAAAAATTCTCCTTCGTGATCCGCTGTGAGTAGGCTTCTCCCAGAGTAAATTTGGCCAAGAAATATATGAGTACACACAGGAAGTTCAGGAGCCCAGAAAAAAACAAGCTGAAAAGTAACTGCTATGCAGTGTGCAGTTCTGGTGATCACTAAATGGTTTCACTGGGATTGATTAGTTGATGTGGTATGGTCAATAATTTTGTGTACTGTTAAAAGTTTTACTACCTAAAGTGTGTTGAGTATCAACAAACAAATAACCTGTTCTTACGTGATGAATGACACTAGTCTAAAATAGGACAGTGTGATGGTTTCACTCCAGGCCTTCCTGGAGACCAGCTTGTAACCAGGAAGGAACTAGGGTAATGACTTAAGAAGTATTCCATGCTATTCCTTTCCATAACACAACATATAAAAAGGCGCAGATAAGAGAGCTCGTTCTCTTCTCTCTTCTGGTGGCGGAAGGCGACAGGTCTCTCCGTAGACGGGCTTTGCTTATATAGGCCAGGGCCTGCTGCTCAGACCTGCCGTTATCTTCGGTCTCTCCGGGAGGCGTGCGGGAGTTGGCTGCTGCCTTGCACAGCTCTGCTGTCCCAGTCAGGGAAGTATTTAATTCGTTTTTATATTTATTGACTAGCTCTCTGTTAACGGGTGTATTTAAGAGATATTTGTTTTTAGGCTTCTTTTTATCCCTGTTTCCCCCTCCCTTTTCCCTTTTTTTCCCTCCTCCTGGGAGCTCCCTGTTGTGGATAATATATTCAAATTGTATATATATAATTGTAAATATATATTTTGTTTTGATAGAATCCCGTTTCGTTCAAACTTCTTTCAGTTTTTTTTCCCATGGTTCGTTTTTTCTTCCCTCTCTGGGAAGCAGGCCTTGTTGTCAAGTTTTGGAGACTTGGTGGGAAACCAGCTCGAAACTTGCACAGACAGGATGGACATTAAGTGTTGTCTTTCCAGTATAAATGTGAAGAAAATTAGCACTCTGTTCGGACTTCATCTTTCTAATACTCTTTCCCTTCCAAAATAATATGCCTGCAAAAAATTGCAGTATTAATTAATATCAGTTACTTCGTTTCTTTGATAACATAACACTTTGCAGTAATAATCTATTCATAATGTTTTTGAAAGTACCCTAACAATAGTTCTTGTTTACGTAACAAAATTACATATTTTGTCTCTTCTCTCTGATGGCAAGAAATTCAGATCAAGCTGAAATCTAGGAAGATATATGACAAACCCTGCTTTTGAAAGTACTTAGGTTAAATTATTCTTCCAGAATGTAAAGGCAAGGTTTTCCCTTAACTGTAGGAAGAGGAGTGTATTGTGTTGTGGTTTGAGAGCCCCAAAATCCAATTCTCGAGTCCAAGCCCCTCCCCCCATCTCAACCCAGTGTGAGATGGGTTTTCCAGACACCACACAAGACTCAAAATGGGGGGAAAGGGAATTATATTACAATGACTATACAAATAAATATTACAATACATCATATACAATCATAACTATCTCTCCTATAATTAATCAGTATTTACAATGGATCAATCTCTTGTCCCTTCAGTAAAAGTCCAGAAGGGAAAAGGAAAGATCCTTTCCACTCTCAGAGCAGCAGTGTCTCTAGGGCAGCAGTCTCTCTCTCTCTCTCCCACGCAGCAGCTGTAGGTGGATCTCTTTCCGTTACACACGAGCGGGTTCTCCAAGCCCCTCTTGGCCCTTTGACTCCAAGCGAGGGTCTTTCTCTTCCGTGGGCTGTGTTCACCGGGACAAAGGTCACTTCACCATGTCATATCACGAAGTGCAGGAGTCTTCGTGACGGTCCCTATCCTCAGGGGATTCAAGCTCCCTTGCAAAGCTCCTGTGCTCTGTCATCAAACTGCTAGCTTAGCAGCAGCAGTGGGGGGATTAAGCCCTCCTCCACATTCCTTTTGGCCGTCCTGGTCCAGCTTTCCAGGACACCTGAGCTTCTCAGCTCCTCTCCCTCTGGTGCATGCTGCATTTTAGGACTTCCATCAAGTGGGAGTCCACCACCCCTCCTCTCTAGGAGGGGTCTCCAAGGAGTTTGGGGAATTTATTTCAGTTCTTACCCAAACTCTCTCTCTGTAGAGCTTAGTCCTGCTCTGTCTCCATCAGACGTTTCTCTGTGTCTTTCCTCCTTGGCTGCAATGCTGGCTTTGCTGCTTCTCCCTTATCTCTTGGCTTTCAGCCATAGCCTCCGTTCACTGCTGTTTCTGTTGCTGCTTCTGCTGCTGCTTACAGTGGAGAAACATCCCCCAGCTCTTAGCCACAGATACTTAGCCCAGTCTAACACTGTTCCAAGTCCCTGTAGCCCCCCAGCTGGGGGCTGGGGGGGCCCAGCCCCCAGTGGGGCTCCAGGCCCCCCTCTCCTCGTGGCCTCAGAACATGGCCACCTCTCCAACAACAACTACCACATCACCTTCTTTTCTGGTCTGTTTGTGATATGTTTATATTTTGCAGGAGCGCTGATTGGGTCAACCCCAAGGGTCACCACCCCCTTGGGGGTTACCATTTTGTAACTCCAGGGGGAAAACATTTTTCCCTCCCCACAATTTACAAGAAGGAACAGCTTTTAATAAAAAGCCTGATGCTTGCTTTACTCCTGTGAGTGATACGTAGAAGAACTGACTTATAAATTCAATGTTCTAAAGCCTCAGCTTTGATACTGTTCTTATAAAAAGATGGAAAACATGTTTCTAGAATCCTACTTTACAAAAATTACTAACTGACTTAGATAAATGGTATGGCATCTCTTAGTTAAACATATGTTTTTACTTGGGAATGCCGCTTCACTGTCCTTATGTATTGTAAGCATTCCTCCTAGTGGATGTTTTTAATGTAGAGCTTTTTGAAAATCGGGAAAGAATTGCCAATTTATGTGAAGAAAGGCACAAGCAGTAACTTGGTGTATTTTGTGCTGAAAGGGATGAATGATGTTTCTCTTACCTGAGATTTGAAACCTGTGTCTACCAACATGCCGAAGGAAATGTTGGGGAAAAAAATGCAGGGGGGAAAAAGGCTTTTATTTTTAACATGGTCTGTCAAACCATCACGGGAGTGCATAGTATTTAAGAAAATACATGCTCACAGGATTTTACATTTTAAACTGCTTTGTTACATCTGTATTTTTTCTACAGTTAGTGAGCAAAACAAGGTTGTATAACTAGCTGCTCTCATCGGTTCTCACTTTGCTTTTGATTTTGGTCCATAAACAAGAGCAAGGTATTCCAGCTCTCCATTTTTCTTTTTGTTTCTCTCGGTAAACTAGTTGTCAAATTCAACTTTTACTTACATTTTGAAGTAAATAAAATTTATACCTCAACAAGTGACAAGCATGCTATGAACCTGGACTGGAGTGGAAGTCTGGCAGGGCACGCATCATCCAGGACTTATGGCATCATCCAGAACTCAAATGTCACTCTGTTAGAATAGTCACATACTACTGAATATTTTAACCTTCTTTTTGCATGGTATTTTTTCAATTTTCTGCAATAGTGAAAGGAATGGTCAAGGAGTAGTATATCAGGCTGAAGATATGGTAATGTCAAAACTGTTGCAGTTAATCAAATTTTGCATTGTACAGTCCATTCTTTACTTTGGAAACATTAGGTGCAAGTATTACCCAGCTGTATGTGAAGCGTATTGATAAAGGGAATTATCAGTTAATGGCAGAGTATTAAAAGATGAGGTCAGAGCAACATGGGGCTGTTTGGGAGCTCAAAATTTATGGCCACTAAGAAGGTTAGCATTAGCCATAAGGAGTTAAATGTGGACAGATGTTTCATCACATTTTCCACAGAATGTGGATGTCTAAGGAGGTGCCAATTTTAGAGAATTTTATAGAGATGACTGGTTTGATGCACAGTGCTGTTCACTTGCTAAGTTTATGTAATATATTTGAATACATCTAATACCCTGATTTGTGTGCATACTTCCAGTGTTCTGTTTGCATTCAGCTGTAATTCAAATATGCATAGATAAACAAGTTCATCTTGCTGAGAATTTCTCTGTTGTGTTTCTTCTCCCTAGCCTTATAGATTGTTTTTTGGTGGACTCTGCAGCTGTGAGCCTTACTATGTCGCCTACAGGAGATTTTCTAGCTTCAGCACATGTGGATGATCTTGGAATTTATTTGTGGTGAGTGTATAATAGTTGTGTTTCTACACAGATTTTCAGATGGGAAAGAATTCTTTTAATCACCTTCATTGCAAATAGAGAATTGCTCTGTGAAGTATCATCTCCAGTGTTTGTCTCATTGTAATTAAGGGAGATATTCTGTGTTGCTGAGATTCATAAATCTTGAAAGTTCCGCAGTTAAGGTATTTATTCTGATAATTAAATTATCTTTTTTTCTAAATATTTCTTTCTTATTCTTAAAAATTCCTGTTATGCCATTCCTAAAGTTTTTCTTGTCTCTATTTTTTTTTAACCCCTTAGAAATGTCTTTATTCAAATAGTGTTTCTTTTTGAAGTGCTTTTCTTGTCCTGCTACACAGCATTGTCTGAGACTTGTGAGTAGTATTTGAAAGTTGTGATTATTTCTCTTTATTAGCGATAAATGAGCACAGAGGTAACATGTTTTAGTTCAATTTCCTCCTGATAGGGTTTTAAAGCAAATGACTGCTTAGGTCAGTACTGGAGTAACACACCATTTAAGTGTTTTGGGGTTTTTCCCCTTTCATTTGATAGGTCTTTCAGGTTACATATGTTGACTGTAGTTTTGCCTGAGGAGTGTTCAACTGTTAGACCTTCCTTGTGAATAATGACAAATATTTTTACCTAGCCCTGGTTTATATTGGCAGAAAAAATAATTTGCCAGAGAAATAATTCAGCAGAATGACTTGTGTACATGTTCCTTAATCATTATTAAATGTTCTTGGCAATAATACTTCAGCACAGCCTTTATGTTTCAGATTTTCAGGTGATATCTGTTGATGTGTTTCATTTCTTGCTTATCTGGTAGATTAGAACCTGATCTTGACTAGAACCTGGTGAATTGCCATGATGCAATAGTTTTAGACTGCAGTAAAAATCATGTCTAAAGTGCTTGTTCCCATTCACCTGAAGATTGTTTTTTAAATGCCTGTCTTATTTTTCAGGTCAAACCGTTCTCTGTATTCACTGGTGTCATTACGGCCCCTTCCTGCAGATTATGAGCCTTCTTTGGTGACACTCCCTAGCACCTGCCCTGTGCAAGGTAATTTTCAGATGAAAGCCTATTTTATTTTGAGTTTGCTATTATATTTCAAATAGAAGATGATTTGCTTCCTCAGTGACAAACTCATTGTGTCTTACCATGCCTTCTCTGAGCTGTTCCTAATGCTTCCACCATTTTTGGCATGCTTACTCATATGCTAATACTATTTACTAAAATCTAGTCGTTTCTATGTTCAGACACGTGGAATTACATTGTGATGATTTCAACATCTTTGAGAAGATTTTTTTTTTTTTTTAGGTGGCAGAAACATTGTGCTATTTGCTGGCTTTCTTTAATCCCAGACTTGTGTAAATACCTTATGTTTTGACGTTTGTGGGGCCAGTTTGAAATTAACATTACTGTCTGGCAGTGGGAGGGAGATTGTTCTTTATTCCATTTCCCTTGCAACTTGTTTCTCTCCTTGTGTGCCACAGTATATTCACTGCTATGTGTTGTCTTGTTGGCAAGAGAATTGGGTTCAGCTGACCCTGCCTGTCTAGATTCCTAGTGAAAGAAAGGCCTAAATGGCATTTTAGCTGCATTTAATCGAAATTATTGTGCTTCTGAGGTCCTCTAGGTGGCGATCTTGTCTGCCCAAGTTTTGCAGTTTCTCTCTCTGGAGGAGAAACACCTAGCCATGGGCCACTAAAAGAGCGAGGAACATGCTTGATGATGACTGCTTTATTAAGCACATACTTGTTTGAGATACTTAAATTAGGGAGACAGGATTTAATCCAAAAACTCTGAATGTTTTTAACCTGATTCTGGCTGAAAGCTTTAATCTACTTCCTGTTTTCAGCAAATGTCAAGTTCCTGTTTAGATGCTCAGAGCTCTTAATGGTTTTTACAGGTCTTTGTTGTTGTAGGCTTTTCTATTAGATTCATTGTTTTAGCCATGTAGCATTTTGCAAAAAAAAAAAAAGGGAGAGTAGAGATGTTTGGTCAAGACCACAAAGGAAGTCCAGAGAAAATCTTATGACAGAAATTTTTTGTGGGATGTTGTGCTTTAACGTTGAGATTTTCTTCATTTTTATGTGCCACTTCAGTCATACCTGTGAAGAGATTGTGGTGAGGTTATGAATATGGTACATATTTAAATGCAAAGATTCTACAGCTTTGTAAAGTTTGTAGAACTAAAATTTCTGTAGATATATTTAAAAAGGTTAACAAAATTTTAACAGTAATTCATTGTTCTTTTAGAATTCTATAAATTGTTTTGATATAATTTCAGCCAAAGTGGACAAATCTTATCAGTCTTTAAAATTTTGTTTATCGAATTCTGCATTTTAGCTATAAGTTTTTTAAATCTAAATATTTTATTTCATAGGGTTAACAATATTCTGTAGCTTTTCAGCTCTAAGTTATGCTAACGCTTATATCCATAACTGTTGTGCATTTGTTATTCAAAAAATGCAAGATACATAATAATACTGGGTTTGATTTAAAAAAAAAAAAAAAAAGTGGAGTCTGTATGTTCATAAACGATATCTGTTCCTGAAAGATGAGGATATGTCAGGAGAAGAAGACCCGCGTGATGAAATGATAGAATATGTCACACCTGAGCAGTTGGAAGAGCAGCTGGTGACCCTTTCCTCATTACCGGAATCAAGATGGAAAAACCTCCTCAGCCTTGATGTTATCAAGGTACTGAAACTGTGGAAAAAATAGCAAACAGCCAGATATATTTCCCCTTGTTCTATGAGATGCATTACCGATTCATGAAATTCGATCCCTCTTTTCAGGTATTTTCAAGATTTTGCTGTAGAAAGCCATAAGGTGCTTTTCAGAATTCCTGGGATTTGGGAGAGAAGTTGTTTGTCTTCTAAATAGTATCTTCACATTTACTAGCAAAACTTTTACCTATGTATTACTTTTCAATTAGTGTTTAGAGTTTTCGTAGTATTTTAAAAATAAAACTCTTGACAAAAAAAAATTCCCATGTATTCTTACTATGATGATGATTATTTTAATTCAAATATCTAATTAACAGAAAAAAAATAAACCAAGAGAGCCACCAAAAGTTCCGAAGGCAGCACCTTTCTTCATACCAACAGTTCCTGGTCTTATACCCCGATACATTCCACCAGAGGAAGAAAAAGATACACAGGTAAAACCAACAAAAATTATAACTTTTTTTATCTAGTATATTTTCAAAGAAATCTTAAATGCTTTTTAGTGCTGAGTGAAATTCCTACTGACTTTAAAGTGCCAGTTTTAACTCATTCCATTAATGCATATTTGCCAAAGTCTTTTATTCTGTTAGGGAAATAATCTAAGTTGTAAAAATATATTTTCATACTCATGTACACTCTTTTAATACTTTTGTGGTCTAGTCAAAGGTAGTAAACCTTGGAGTACTGGCACAGAAATCTGATTTCTGCGTTCATCTTGAAGAAGCCCTGAGCACTAATGAATGTAAGTTAATAAAATACTTCACTAAAAATGTTGATGCTGCTTATGTTTTGAAATACATATGCTTTCTAAAGTCAGAATTGTAATGCATGGGAGGCAAAAATATGCATAGTACAGTAGCAAAGAGAATGACCTGATTAATGCACAGATAGCCAATCTAGGTCAAGATCCATTGGTACTCCAGCTTGCCTGCAGCGTGGAATCCTTACAGAGAAATGCTGGATAAAACCATTCTAGGAAGAGAAGGTAGTGCTCCTGAGACCATTAGCCTTTTTGGAGACTGTGGTGGTCTTGCCCAGAAAAGTGCTGTGTATTATTTGTAGGGGAAGGAAGGGATTGATTTGTTAAGAGATAGTCTGGTGATTTACTGAAACATGAAAAGCATAATGTCCCTAGGAAGCTCTCCTAAGGGCTACTTCTCTAGGCATTCAGCAAACTTACACCTTTAATTAATTGTTTTATAATTTAAAGCTTAAGAAGAAATGATATAAAAATAAGGTGTTGGATTTCGTTGAAACCTATTTTGAAATATAATCACTTAAATTGCCTTTGGCATGTGCCAGCTTAACTTGTGCTCCTACAGAATCATTGAAACTTAGTTGTTTTGAAAATGATTGCTAGCATAGCTACCTTGGAAATGTAAATGGAGATTCACTGGCAGTTTGTCTACAAAGCAGTTCTGTTGGGAATTCTATTACCCCTTCTTGAACTCTTTTGAGTTGACTAGCTTACTCAACTGCACTTGAAACATTTTGTGTGCAGAACTTTGTCTGTCACAAATGAGGCGTGTTTTTATGCTGTGTTTTTAGTATTTCTAATGGATAGTATTCTATTAAACTGCTTCAGGTGAATATTTAAGAACTCTACCAAGCATCTAGAGGCTGGCTGTATCAGGGAGCAAGTGCACTCTTTCCCATATTGTATGTGTATCAATTTCATAACATGTTCCGTGCTTAGTTTTTTTAATAGCACAGAAGTTATTTAATTTATCTGTTTAGTACTGTTCATATCATAATTACATTTAAAACTAGCTAATGATTTTCATAGGAATCAAATACAGATTTATACCACCTAAAGAATTTTAGCCAGTGTCTAATACCATTAGTTACCAAGATATGAGAGTCTTTGGGAATGATATGAGAATTTGGTCTTCTTAGTAACTTCTTAAATTACATTTTTAAAAGTGTTTCAACCATCAGTTGCATTTGCAACCAAACATGTTTTTGCTTCCTCATTTTTAAAGCAAATGGGTGGGATTCTCATAGGTCATCAGGTAGGATTGTAGAAATCCTGAGGAGGAACACTTATGAAGAGGAGGAAAGAGTTTTTAAATTGCATGTATTTCTACCATGAGAAAGATTTTTCCACCACCCCCCATGTCCCAGAAAAAGCAGGAGGAATTCACTTGACAAAAGCTGTAATTACATTAGTTGCACCAGATGATCCCCAGTTTTGCTTAATGTCAATAACAGTAAAGATGCCTAGTAAAAATAGTACCTTATCTCTTTCAGAGCATATTCACTGTTTAGTAGCTTGAAATCCCAAGTGTATACATTCTTTTTGCCAAGAGATATAAAATGACAGTGCTATGTGGTTAATAAGAAATTTTGTTCAGCTTAAAGAACAGAAAACGGGGGGGGGGAAATGAAACAAATATAAAGGTGTTACTTGTATTTTTCAAGATGAACTTACAAATAAAGTACACGTGTCTTATTAGATATGTACTTCTCTAGTATGTGATGGGACAGTAAATTAAAGGCAGGAAGGCATTTTGTTGTAAACAAAGTAGTAAGGAAAGAGTAGGAACTTGAAATTCATAGTCACTGCTTAAGAATTTTGGAATAAACCTGTCTTATGAAGGGTTTGTAAGGTACTTGTCTGCAGATGTTCTTGATAACATCTAATTCAATGTTTTAACACAGATGAAGTTCCACTTGACCTACTGAAAAGGTTGGGACCATCTAATACTGAGATAGAACTACGAGGTTTGGCCCCTGAAGGTGGTGGCTCAATGGAGGTGATGCTGAGCTTTTTGAGAATGATTGGGATGATGCTGAACAAGAAGTACAACTTTGAACTTGCTCAGGCATACCTTGCATTATTTTTAAAGGTAATAATTTTCTTAAAAAATTTGGTGTTAGTCCTGTTTAAAATGATGGTTGTGCAGTAAAAGGATATAACTTATCTGCTTGAAAGAGTATCTTAAGTGATTTTGTTTGGGAATGGTTTTAAAATGTCTAACTGAATGTATTGGATGATTTGACAACTCGTCTGATCACAGTCAAGAAAAATTTGCAAAAAAACCCAGGTATTCTGAATAGCACCCTGGCAGCCAGGTTTTATTCTAGTATTTTTTATTTAGAATTGGTTTTATTTTTTTGTAACAAAAATGGTTGTTAATTGTTAAGCTGATATATGCTATGTCTTAAGTAGGCAAAGAATTTAATGCGCAGTGGTTGGGAAAGTAAATTAGAGATTTTGTTGGACTTACCGCTATACATTGCAAGCCTGACTTACTTTCCGTGTCAGTGGGCTTCCTTTCCTCTGTTACCTGTTAAGCATCACAGAGCTAGTGAAATAACTCCCAGGTCTTGTATAAGTCAGAAAGTTATTTGGATGAAGCACAGTATAAGTTAATCTTAGAGAGAAAGTCATTCTGCAGAAGATTGAAACCGTTCTGATATACAAGTGCTTAAGATACTCAGATTTATGAAACCGTATGAAAGCAATTAATTACAGTTTACTGGTGAAACATTGTTATAAACATTCAGGCACCTTGTAATACTGAGGCATTCGTGGCTTCTCTGGGCAACCTGTTCCAGTGCCTCTCCACTCTCACAGTAAAGAATTTCTTCCTAATATCCAAACTGAACCTACTCTCTTTCAGGCTAAAGCTGAATAGCAATACTCCCAGATTTAAATTGTAGCCTGGAAAACAACTATTCCATTCATTAAGTGGTAATAACTGCTACAAGATCGAAAGGGTTTTTTTCCTTCTGCTTTAACAAGGTTACTGTTTATTACATGAAAAGATATCATCCATCTGTATTGGTATAGAGTGTGCTGGCATCATTCTTCCTGCTGTATGCAACATGGGTAACTAAAATAATAATCCTGATTGACCTCAGGGCATCTGTCTAGCTTTTCTAGCCTAAAGAGGAATTTGTGATGCAAATCAGAAGGAGGAGAAAGTTATGCTCTAGAAGAGTGTGTGATTAGGATAGATTCAGCAGCTTAGGTAGAAGATCTAGTAAAGCAGTAGCATATTGAAGACATTTTGCTGCCTTGTCTCATTTAGTACATATGTGGGAGTAAAATGGTTTGGGTAAAACTAGCAAAAAGGAGGCAGCATGGAATAGAGGGAATTAATTCAAGGAAAAAGAATTCCTTACTTGGAAGGCAAAGTACTTCCTGAAGGCAAAGTATTGAAATTGAATTTTTTTATTATCTGTATTTGTTTCACTAACTTCTTGTTTTCATTTTCAGTTACATCTGAAGATTCTCTCATCAGAGCCAAACCTATTGGAAGAATTATCCAAATTGTCAGTGCAACTCGAGGACACTTGGATTCGTTTGCAGACTCTCTTCAATCAGAGTCTGTGTGTTTTAACATATATGAAAAGTGCTCTGCTGTAAAATACTAATGGTTTTGTCTGCATAAAATCTCCCTTGGAATAATAATACAATTCATTACCAAAAATACCAGATTTCAAAAGTCATACTGGGTCTTAGAAACATAGAATCATTAAGGTTGGAAAAGAGCTCCTAGATCGAGTCCAACCTTTGACTGAATACCTCCCATGTTCACTAAGCTATATCACTAAGTGCCACATTTACTCATTTTTTGGGTACTTCCAGGGATGGTGGCTTTACCTCTTCCCTGGGGAGGCTGTTCCAGTGCTTCTTCTGATGCTGTATTTTATACATCTGCATATGGCAGAGTATTTTAGAACATGCAAAACTGCATATTTTTGTTGAGTTGGAGCAAAAATTAGTACGTGCAGCTATTCATGTTCTATTGGTTCTTGCTGTCAGTGAACAGACAGTTGAATTCAAGGCCAGGTTGGACAGAACCCTGAGCAACCTGGTCTAGTGGATGGTGTCTCTACCCATGGGAGGGGGTTTGGAACTGGATGATATTTAAGGTCCCTTCCAGCTCAAGCCATTCAATGATTCTATGATTCTGTGGCTATAGATAATGTAGCTAGTTACCTTAGGCTTTCATGGCCAAACCTGTAGATCAGAATGAAAAAATTACTTGGGGGGGAAAAAAAAAGAGGTGGGAATGTAATTTCTGTGCAGGAGACCAAAATCTATGTTGTGTTTAATAAAGTTATTCTTTTTGCAAAAATAAAACAAAACGTCTGAATTATTAACATTTTATTAACATTAGTTTAAAGCAATTTAATCTAAAAATTGTGCTCCTCTGCGATTAGAGCGCTTTTCCTATGAAGTTTGTAAAAATCAGTCTTTTTCTGACTTTGGCAAGCTGTGTTCTGTAGCTGCAGACATGTGTTTCTGAATGCAGATATTTCCAACTGTACTACAAATACTTGAAGTTTAAAAAAAAGAAACACCAAACTAAACAAACAAACAAAAACTTTCACTCATTTTTTATAATCAGGTTTTTTGGACGCTCAATTTCTTCTGAAAATTATGTTTCCTTTGTTAAGGAGAAGAGATTACCAGAATAAAAGCTCTGAGTTTTGGGGAATTTTAATTGAATCAGATGTAGTTTTTACAAATTAATATTTAGGTTTCAAACAATAAGATTTGGGCATTGTTTGGGAACTCATGAGTGAAATTATCAACTTTGCATTTTGAGAGTACTTCCTCACAGCAGAAGAATCTCCTGAATGAGGCCTTTGGTATATTTCACATGCTTCAGCTACATACACAGTCTAACAGAATAACTAACACAAATGTATGCAATTTCAATGGGTAAACTTCAAAGATGGATTCATTGCGTTTGGCACAAGACTGAGACAAGGGTATGGTTTTGTCATGCTGTATGTGTAATTTTTCCTTTTTCAATGCCATCACATTATAGAACTCGTTTTATTTATCTATACTGGAACAAATTATCTGCAAACACAGAATAATCAGAGAATCATAGAACGGTTTGGGTTGGAAGGGACCTTAAAGATCATCTGCCATGGGCAGGGACACCTTCCTCTAGACCAGGTTGCTCAGGGCCACATCCAGACTGGCCTTGGACACTTCTGGGAGTGGGTTGTCCACAAGTTCCCTGGGTAACCTGTTCCACTGTCTCACCACCCTCGCTGGGAAGAATTTCTTGCTAATACCCAATCTGACGCTACTGTTGTTAAGTCTAAAGCCACCCCCCAGTCTGATCACTACAGGCCCTTGTAAATCCCCCTCCAGCAGTGTTGTAACCCCTTTTAGCTACTGGAAGCCTGCTATTAAAGTCACCCTGGAGCTTCCTCTTCTTCAGGTGGAACAATCCCAATTCTTTCAGCCTTTCCTCATAGGAGAGGCATTTCATCCCTTTAATCATCTTTATGGCCCTCCACTGGACTCTCTTCAAGAAGTTATGTTTCCCTCTCTGCAGTCAGTGGGAGCTTCAGCAGACTGCCACAACTTCTCAATATCATGGGTAGTGGCTTAGCCATTTCACTCATCAGCTTCTCTGTGTTGTCCTGGCTGTTCTTTATCCATAACTTTGCCTCACGTAGAGGCTTGAAGGGAATGGCAAAATACTACAGAAGTTTCCAGTCTGGCATTATAGCCAGTTAGGACTGAGAATGTGGAGTAAGTGGGAATAATGTACACCTGAGGTTTTTTTATGAAGTTTACTATGGAGATTTAAGAAAATCCTTTATACTGTACAATTATTAGCTGCTGGTGATATGGTCCTCAAGAAGCCATTGCTTCCAGTTTCTCGGATGCATCTGAAGCAGTCCAAAGTCCCTCAAATTTCACTGTAATGTATAATAAACCTCTGAACTTACAGGCATTATTGTAACTAATCTAGATCTTGAAGAATCATTTTTTGAGCCAAGACAGAATATTAAAAGTAAGTAATTGTTTGCGGACCTGCCCGAGTGGAAGAAGGAACAGTGGATAAAGAACGTTCCTCTTGGATCAGAGTAAGGGTCTGTCAAGCCTTGTACCCTGTCTCCAGCTGCAGCAAGGAATAGATGCAAAGGGTTTAGCAACCTGGTCATATATAAAGAAGTCTTTCTCAAGCACATACCACCACTTTTCAGCAAATAGCTATTTAGATACTTTGTGACCCAGCTGTAGCCCAACAGTTGTGCTTAATGTTCTGTGATGGACCTGTTTGTTCTCTCTGAGTTCATCTAATCTCTTTTAGAACCCATTTATCCTTCACTACATCCTGTAGTAATGGGACCTACAATTTAATTAACGGAAGTAATGTGTTTCTGTTTATATACTCCAGACCTGCTGTCTTTTAATGTTACATACCCCTCCTACTTCTTGAAAGTTAGAAATATCAGTTGTGGTCTAGTCTTCATGATTTACAGCCTCTCCACCACAGAGCAGTGATGAAAGAGTTTCTATTTGTGAAGGAGATACTTTGTGTTACTCAGTGCATGTGTGTTTTTTCACTGGCATACAAGAACACATTATGGGCACAGTTGTTTAAATCTGTTTGTACAAGATTTGTCCACAAAACTTGTATGAATTGTAGAGGAGGGAGGCTTTTTTAGTTTCTTTTTTCATGGTGTACTTGATGTAATCATAAGAAAAAAGACATACTCTGCCAGACGTGCCATTCTTCTGAAAGCAGAAAACTGAAGGTAATTTTTGTGAACAATGTATGCATAAGAGTTGACATAGTATTTGCAGTCTGGATGATCTCATTAAATGTGTTTCATTCAGTTTCTTATATCATACCTAGATGTGTTTTAAGTCTACCTGGAACACTTCAGTTGTTTCCTTTAGAAAACAGTGCTTAGATGTGAGTGTTGTCCCACCTCCTTTATTCTTTTGTCTTTTTCTCAACATTCCTAGTCATCACTGCTATTTCAGAGATGTTTGGCTATTCTTAGAGCTGTAGAGTCTTACATCAGTAGCTCTGATTGCTTCTTTTTCTTGGCCTTTTATTTTGTCCTTTTTACCACACATCAAAATGATGAAGAACTTTTGCCATTAATAAATAACTTTTTCAGAAATAAAAAATAAATTCCACCTACTAGTGGATGAAGGTGGGTATTTCACCTGCTACTTCCTGTATTATTCCTTCGCCTGAGACATCAAGGACAATAGCTTATGATGTTAGTCAAGAGTTGTTGATTACAAGTGATAAGACACATGACAATTCAATTTGATAGGTGGGGCTTTGCATTACACATAATAGCTCATTTAATCTGGTGCTCTTGTAGTAGCATATGCAATAGGACATGGGAAAATCATTAGGTGGATTAAGGGATATAGTCATTAACTCTAAGTTTTCCTCTGAACAGGATAACTATCGAAGATTTTATAATTCTTACACAATACCAAGCCCATCTTAAGCAAGCTCTGACTAGCAGCTTGCTGTTAGGATTCTGCAATATTTCTGTGTGTCACAGCACACCTTCCAGCTTTGTCTCAAGTCTGTTACTTGCCTGTGCCTGCCTGTGTCCCTGTGCTTCATTTTCACCATGGTCTTGGCTCTTGTGGCTTCTGAGCGTAGCTGCTGCTCTTGGTAGCTCCTGTACCCAGCAGTCCTGTCAAGTTAGACCTCAGAATAATACATGAGTTTAGCAATTCATCCCTCCTGTTAGCACCCTAAATTTTTCTTAGTCAGATTCACGTCTCAGAAGGATTTTTGTAAATATAGCTCACTGAAAAAAGTGGTTATGACACTCTTTTCTTACACTCTTTTCTGATATTCCTGCTGCTTTGGAAATGTTCCACCTCTTTGGCATGGCTGGAACTGAAAAGTCACCAGACTGTTGTAATGCAACATGTCCCTTCCTGTCCTGTGGGGCAAAGGTTCTCTTTGAAGATTTTAGTTTCAACAAAATCAAGATAAATGTAAGCTATTTCGACAGTGCTTACATCACTGAGATGGTTTATTCATGGTGCTAGAGAAAACAGCACCATCTGTACAGAAATCCCTTCAGCTCCCTTTGTGTGGGTGGAGGAGGATGACAACCTACTGGTGCATATGGAAAAAGCAGAAATACTTCATACCTTTTTTTTTGCTTGAGGCTTCACAGGCAAAGACTGCTTCCGTTTTCTGTGAACACCACAGAAGGAAAGGAGTTGCCAGTAACAGGGAAGAAATGCGTTAAAAAGACTTAAGAGCACAATCACCTTATAACCATGGGACTCCACACATGAACTTTTGCACAAATACTGGTTTTGCCCATCAGCTGTAACACAGTTGTAACACAGGAGGTCCCTGACAACTGGATTGAGGCTGTAGTGTCCACTTTTAAAAAAGGTGAACTGGAACATCCGGGAACCTCTACATTCATAAAACTTGTCTCAGTGTCCAAAACAATCAGGGAGCATGTACTGCCTGTGCTTTTGGAATCCATCTCCAGTACACAAATGCCAAGATGATGAACAACAACCTGCAGAGAGTCATGAGGGCAAATCATGCTTGACCAAGTTAAGTTGCCTTCCGGGATGAAATGACTGGTTATGTGGACAGAGGAAGAGCCATGAATTTAATGATAAACTTCAGGACAAGTACAGCAGTCTGTAATTACTTTATCATAGTCAATAATATGAGAATTGTTACTCTTAAAGTCAACAGGTATGCTTTCAGTTAAGATTTTGAAAATTATGATGCTTGTTAATTGCAGTCTATGTGCCATGAACCTTTTACATTGTGAGCTGATTTAAGTGTCATATTGGGTCTACAGCACAGAGGCGTGAATTTGCAGTTCCCCAGTATAACTGGCATTACAGAAATTAATTTGTTCATGTTCTAATTATGCCTAATGCATGATTATTTTGTTTAATATCCCATAGCAAAGAAACTTAATAAATCAGATGCAGAATGTTGCGTAATGCTAATGGCATTGCAGAGATTTGCAATGACACGTAGAAGAATGAGTTTCAAGTGAGTTGAAAGTATTTCGAGTGAATGTCTGATAAGAAAAAATTATTCTAAAATTGGTTTGAGCCACAACACATTAGACTATTTTGTAAGGTCTTGCCATTTGCCAACAGAGGTTTCATTCTTGTGGATCACCACTGTATTATGTCCCCTGCTGCAGCTATAGATCTTTCCTCTTTTTGCAATAGGTTCTTCAGCCTGATTGTTTTTTAACCATTTGGTAACACAATGTGTGCCTGAGCAAAGACTCTTCCTTGGGTACAAGGCACTTAGTCTGGGAATGGTGAGACATCCAAGAAACACTGTTAAGAGAGACTGTAAAACCACGTAGCCAGCTGAGAAAGAGGCACAAAGTGCAGTTGTCTTAGAGTGAAGATGGTGCCTAGAAATGTATTTCTGGTGCAAGACTGCTGCTTAGGCTATGAGACAGCAGGAATCTCAAAACTGCACAAGAAACAGACTGGGATGTATCTTCTCAGGAGCTGGGGACTTACCGTGATTAAATCTTGTTTCTTAGCAAGGAAAATGTATGAGGTGACTTAAAGAACCTGTACAATCAAAAGAAAGCAAATTGTCAGCCCTCAGGAAGAGAATGGGAAAAAAATCAATGAAATATTAGAAGTAAAATAATGGAGTAAACTTTAGTCCTAAGGGATAATGATACTGAAACCAGTGTGTGCTAATGAAGGCTTACCATGTTAGGTTCTCTGCTTCATGTATATAAGAATGTTTTTTAACTGAGCCCAGTACCTGGTGTTTAAAGATTAAATCTTGATTATAGCATACATTTGTAAACAGACTATTTTGGAATAACTGAGAAGGTGCTGTTCTTCTGTTACGTGCCATTTTCCTTCATGCTGAAAAGAAAGGCTTTGAAAATCTGGTAAATCTTCTTCAAGCAGAACCACAGCACAGCTTAGAAACTCATTCCTTATTTATTATCTTGATATGTTGGGGGAGGAAATTCTGGAGCTACAGATCATTGCAGATGTTATCACTAGTCTTAAGGTAACTCACCTTTATCACTCCAAGTCCACTTAAGTCTCTGGACTAAGAAAGGCAGATGGAACTCTGGGATTAGCAGAAGTTGGCCCTGTGGGTTGATATTCAACTTAAACATGGACCATGAGCTCCTTGATATGCCTGGTCAGCCTAAGCAGGGACATAATGTGGTGACTGTGGCATGAAATGAAAATGGTTCTGATAATAAAATGAATCTAATCCCATTTGAATTAATCTGTAAAGAGCTGTGGGCTCATGCCTAGGAGTGGAGTGTAAATGTTCAGCTGAACACTGATGCTGGAGAAGGAGCCAAACCCAAAACGTGATGGTAGAAAATTCTTACCATCTCAGAGTATTCCATCAGTAAGAGAATGGTCACAGCAGCCTCTCTGAAGTTCAGCTTTAACACACTAGTCCAGATTTTTTGTTATTCTGATTTAAATACTTTTAAAATACTGGTTACAGTCCTAACAGAACTGCTATGGTCTAGGTAACTATTAAGCTGTGCTAGCTGTCTGCTTTTAATAACTGTCAGCCCTAAGTGATCTGTCAATTAAAATGACAGATTCTTGTTGATTAGAGATATCTACAGTGAATCCCTAGTCACTGACAAGAAACAGGCTCCTACGCTACAAGACAGTCTACTGAATAACAGGAAAAGTATTTTTTGTAATAAGCCATAAATTAATTATCTACTGTCTTTCAATAATGAAATATTATGTTATTTTGAAAAGAGATTGGAGTAAAAGCTTTAAACGAGACTTTTGCAAAACTTATGCGAGATTCATAGTTAATCAGGATTGAGAACTGCATTCAGAAAAGATGTGTAACTATTTTCTGTGCATTGAAGAACCTTAAGCGAAATAATTCACTGCCTTTAAATAGAAAAGGACAACTGACAGCTTCAAATGATGCTCCAGCCTCTGTTGTTCTGTTGAAATTAGTCTACACGACCATAGACTTCACCTCTCCCAAATATTAACCTAACTAGGTATTGGAAACACATATAGATAGCAACAGACAAATGAAAGAGATTTTAAGTCTAATAAAATATAGATTTTTGTACTTAAGGGTATTGTGTAATTTTCCTCCTTTTCCAGTCAGCTTTTACTTTTTTTCCCAAAAGACGTTTAGCTATAACTATTATCCTTCCCAAAACAGAAAAGCAAAGGTTTACTAGCATTAATTGATGATCTTTCCAATTATTTCTGTCAATCTTCTCTCAGTTTCCATGATATTGTTCTTGTAGTATTCACTCCACTGTTTCCATGTATCATCTACAGAAATGTTAAGAGCTGAGTAAAATGTTGTGGACACATCTGGTCAATTCAACATTTTCTTCTCTGTGTTCTACATTTCTAAACAAGATTCTCTCTTTACATTGCTTAGTTATGCTTTTCTCCTTTAACCAAAAGGGTGGGTGTCTTACTAAAATGACAAGATTGTTCCTCAGATTGTACTAAGACAAAGGAAAAATTTTATTTGTTCCATTAATCTTTTAAATTTCCAGTCTAGGATTCAAACTGTAACAATTATCCTTTGTTACAAACTGCTGCTCTTCCTATTAGAGACTAACTTGAAAGGCAGGTGCTTCTTTTTCCATTGTCATTTCATTAGCAACCATGATCTGAAGAGCTAATTCTCTGTCTAAGCAGCACCCACTCATTTTATAATGTTGGTAATAATTTCCAATTCCGCAATGGGAGGTCCTTTCATCCAAAGTCTTAAGGTGCTTGACTTGTACAAATTTAACTTGACAGCAAACCATGAATAGGTAAGTGTTATCAGAACCACATGACTTGTAGGAAAATGGACCATGTAGTATAGTACCATGTAGAATACCTGTATGTTGTCATTTGGAGTGCTAGCTAGAGGTTCAAATTAGCAGTTGTGGCTTTCAGGCCTACATACTTTTGTGCTAGACTGTCACCTGTTGCTTTTTTCATCGTGTAGTCTTGATATATCTATTGTTGCTGAATGTCCTCTAGAAAGTCATCAGAAGGATCAGAATTAGTACAGAGGAATCCCAGCTTTCGGCTCCTTGTTCTACCACTCAGTATTAGTCCCGTCTGGAGAAAACTGGGAGTGGAAGAAAAGTGATGAGAAGTAAGATTTTATGCACTCATAATATGCTGCACAAGAGCAAACCCCATCTTCTAGTTTCCATGCTGTGACCTATGCTTTTGAGATCTAACCAACTGTATTTTTGTGAAGATTGCTGCTCATTTTACCCAGGAATTCCTAATGACTCAACCTCCCTTCTCGATCTCCAGCAAAAGCCTCCAGTGCTCACCTATATGAACTCCAAACAGCACTTGTAGATTTATAGGGAAAATATATTGATATATCACCATTATGCAGAATAAGTTACCCACCCAGTCAAATGCTTACAGCATTACTCTACTTCAACTCAAACCAATTTCTTCCTAGCAAGAATAAAAGAATACTAAATGGTTAAGTCTGGCTCCTAGTAAAACCCGATCATGTAATAGTTTTCATGTTCATAAGTGGAGAGATAGAAATCTCTGGGTTTTTTTCTGCCCAGAAATGCAATGCATAAGGAATTGCTCTGTAAATTCAAAACACTTCACTCATGTGAGTCACTGTGTTGTCATGTGAGTACTGATAAATCTAGCTATAATGTTATTAAAAACTCTCTCTGTCTTTCTCCTTTTTCCTACCTGGATAGCCAAAGTGATAGTAGAGAATGTGTTGATCCCACTCGGCCATTTCACTCTTTTTCCATATGATGAAAAGGAAGTTTACATTTAAAGGATGTGGACAGCTGAACATGAACTGTAGACATGCATTTACAGAATCATAGAATCATCAACATTGGAAGAGACTTTCAAGATCATCTAGTCCATCCCTCAAACTAGTATTACCATAATCACCCCTAAACTATATCCCCAGGTGCCACATCCAGATGCCTCTTGAACACTTCTAGACATGGTAACTCCTCTGCCTCCCTGGGCAGCCTATTCCAATGCCTGACTATCAGTGAAATGTTTTTTCTAACATACAGTCTGATGTTAGAACCTCCCCTGCCATAATCTGAGGCCATTTCTTCTCATCCTTTCCTCCAAGAAATTCTCCTGCTGTGTGGGGACTGCTGAAGACTGACGGGTTTGACTCACAGTAAGAAATTTGCACTGCTAATTCGTTAGTTTCTAATTGATTATGTATTTATATTGTAGTCCACAATTTAGAACTCCATATGGTGACTCACTATGGCCTAAGAGCTGCGAAGAAGCCTGACACGGGGTTCTGATGCCATTCAGTATATGTGTGGTTGATGTTATATGCAACTAAACCCAGAAACTCAGCTGCAATGTTAGGCCACCTTAAAAATGCCTCACGCACAGATCCACAGATAATGAATGTCCTGAAAACCAAGTACACCAAAAAGTCAGACATGTGGCAAGGGCCTGTCTTCTCATCTTTTTGTTGCTCTTTTGTGTACATCTACAAAAAATTGTATGGACTTCAGGGATATGATTTATGGCGTCAGAAGCAAATAATCAGGGTGCCACACCACAGGATGGCAAATAACTCTCTACAGTTCTCTACAAATACCTCGAAGGAGGTTGTGATGAGGTGAGAGTCTGTCTCTTCTGCCAAAGGTTTCAGAAGCCCCCACACAGCAGGAGATTTTCTTGGAGGAGGTTTTCTGTCTTGTGATGAACCTAAAAGTTATTTAGGAAAAGAAAGTATAGGAAAAAAGCACTTGAGTAAGATCATGTTTTTATCTGACCTGCCTTCTAAGTTTTGCTTTATGCTGACTCAACAAATGTGAAACTTCTATGTAACAACAAATACGGCTCTTAGATCTGACTGAAGTGGTCAAAAAAATGACAAGGTGAAGTGAAATACAGCAAGAATATCGGCTACTTCTGAAATGCATTCTCAGACTTTACCAATTTGAAATTAATGGACTGTCAGAGGTGGTTTCTAACTGTTCTAGGATGTTAAGCAGTGGATTTGTCTTCCATGAATCTTCTTTTGGATCCATCCACATTTTTAGCACTGCAGTATCCCATGGCAAGGAGCTGCAGAGTTTACCGCTCACAGCTACCTCCTCTTGCTTGCTTGAGTCTGGCTTCTTGCTAACTCTATATTATTTCCTTTAGTTCTGGCACTGGAAAAAAAGCAGTAAACAATTAATCCTTATCAATCCTGGGTTCCTCCCTCTCCCCCTCTTGATCTTCTAGGTCTTCAGTTTGGGTAAAATTAAAATGGAAATAGTTGCAAAAACAACCTTGTTCAGGGAAGGAAAAGATTCTACCTAAGCAATGCAGATGTAAGCATGTATAATCACTGAATGGTGTAGGTACTCTTCTTTAGAAAATGAATAATAATTTTTATAATTACCTTGTATTTTGAATGCTTTCCTAAAGAACCATGAAGACTGATTATTTCTTGAGTTGTGGCCGGCTTGGGATAACTGTAAACATCAGAGTCAGTCACTGGCTGCATCATTGTCTTCGTTAGCTAGCAGTGTACCAATCTGGAAGAAAATACAGACAAACCTTTTGGAATCTCTATACTAGTTTTTAAGTATATCTTAAAAAAAAATAATTCATAAAGTATCAAATGAGAAGCAAGGTGAAGGTAACTGACTTAGATTGTTGTTCTCATATGCTTCATGAACTAACAATTACTGCTTCTGCAATAAAAAAAGAAAAGCTTATTATTTTGTTAGAAATACGCCATAGCTTGTCAAACTCCAAAATCTCCATTCCATTTCATTGCAGGGAAGACCATTTCACAATAGCACTGTTTTTCCTTGGAAGTTTTATATTAAACAATGTTTTGGATGAGATCTGAACCCAAGAGGACAGGTCTTCAAGTTGTGCTGACCCTCTAAAATGTGGAGACTGTGCTTTTGCAGGTTCTTTTCGGTGTATGGAGCCATTAGCAGTAATGACGGACAGCCCCATTTGTGATGTCATGACCCAAGCAGTCTTTCTCTCCTTCATTTTAGAGGACTAAGCTAGCAGCTGGGAAGTATGTTTGACCATGGATTGTTATTCTGGAGCATCTCTGTTGCAAAAGTGTAACCTGGTGTTTAACACTTAAACGGAGAAAAATCACTGAGAATATAAATAGCTTATTCTTTCTTTGGCATACACATTTAAATGTTTTTATAATTTAATGGGACCACTTACATTATTTTCAAACTCAGTAACTTCTCTGGGCCTCTGTACAAATTTTAAAAAGCATATTCAATGTTAATGTTCAAGTACTCTAAAGTGAATGCCTGGGTATTGATGAATTATATGTGACATTTATTATGCTGGATTCTGTGCTGACCCAGAGCTAATGGAAATTACAGAGTATGGCCTGTATTTGTTGCCATTAAGGGTACTTTTTCTCAGTAGCACTTCAGGCTACTTTTTAGTTTAGTTGTTTGAGCTGCCTGAAGTCTTTCTAATTTCCACAATTAGGTCCACTTTTGCAAGGACAAATACACTAGACCAGGATCACAAAAAGGAACAAATCTGAAAGAAGGTAAAAACTTGTAGTTAAGACTAGGGTTGTGGAAAAATGGAATTTCCTTTTGTCGCATGCAAAACTGTAACAGAAAGATGTAAGTGCTTTTCTCAGATCTGTCACCACCTCTCAGTGTCTATAAATAAACTAGTAATGAATTCCTGAGTTCCTTCATCAATGAATCAATGCTCAGTGTGTTACTGTTACCAGGAATTCAAGGGAATTTTTTTTAAAGAAATAAGCAAAACAACAGACTAGAAGGGAACATTCTACTCAACATGCAAGTAATACCTTGCCACCTAAAGGTTGTGACCTGCTCTGTGCCCCGATGTCATATTGTGCTTATACATGTGCTTATGTCTTGTTAGAACAGTTTAACTGAGCTCTCGCAAAATCTTTCCGGTGCGCGGCCTTCCATAGCTGTCAGAATGATTGAGCAATTTGAATACCTTCCAAGGCTCATTCTTTTCCCAGTAATCTAGATTGTGTCAGATTTGAGTATGTCATAGAGAAAAACGTTCTCCAGGAATATCTGTTACAGAATTGGTGGAAGCATTACTGGACCTGACTAAGACCAGAGAAGCATATGGTTTGTTGCAAATTTATATTGACAGCTCTTGGTCATAAGTGTCAAATTTAGTCATATTAAGATTCCTGAACAACTTTCATGTTTGGCCTTTTATATTATGGATAGGGAAATAATGTTCTGATGCCAGGTGGTTGAAAGACTTCATGTGGGAAGAACATGAAAGAATGTTGAAATTCTACAAAGACATGACAATGGAATGTTGGTGTCAGCCCCATCTAATGAACAGAGCACTCATGGTGAG